TTTAAGTGTTATTAAAGTCACCTAATGAAACTGACGAAGAAACAAATGACAAAATGAAATGAAGTTCACATTCATCGATTTATTCCAAATGATCGTTAGACTAAGTAAGGCACAGACTGACCATTATAAGGGTAAAATGATACCCGGGGTCAAACAGCAAAGTTACCACAGCATCACAACCAAGTCAGTAACGGGTAAATCCTCCTCTGTTTGCCAAACAAGCATTGATCCGACGTGGCATACTCCTAATGAGAAGTCTAAGGTCATTTTGGTCCAGATTGTCCCATTCCTGTTGCAACGCAGCAGCAAGTTCTTGGACATTGGCAGGACGTTGTTGACGTTGACGTAACCTCTGTCCAAGCATGTGCCAGACATGCTCGATGGGGGAGAGGTCGGGACTCAGTGCTGGCCAAGGTAATGTGGTGATGTTCTGTTGTTGGAGGTAACCTGTAACGATCCTGGTCCTGTGACATCTTGCGTTGTCATCCTGGAAGATGAAACGGCGGCCATGACGTCGTGCGAACGGCACAACATGGACTGCCAAGATGTTGTCCCGGTAGTACTGGCCTGTAACACGCCCTGCAACAACATGTAAAGCCGTTCTTCCAGCAACAGTGATGCCTCCCCACACCATAACAGAACTACCCCCAAATCGATCATGTCTGATGACGTTAACGTCTTGGAAGCGCTCGTTTCGACGACGCCACACCCTCCTACGTCTGTCCAAAAAATCAACAGTGAACCTTGACTCATCTGAAAACATCACATTGCTCCAGCGTCGATTATCCCAGTGTTGACGATCCCTACACCAACGACGTCTTGCCTGAATGTGATGATCTCTCAAACAAGGGATCACGCGAGGACGTCGGGCGCGAAGGTGACCCCTATGCAGTCGATTCCGAATCGTCTGGCCACTCACTCTCACACCAGTGTCTATTTGAAGACGAGCGCTGATCTGATTTGCTGTGATGACACGATTTCTCAAGGCCAAGGTACGGATAAATCGATCCTGGGCTTGAGTTGTCGCCCTTGGTCGACCTGAGCGTGGTCTGTCCTGTACAGATTGTGTATCATGGTATCTGGACCATAGCCTGCTTATGACAGACTGAGAAACATTCATCGTCCGCGCCACAACCGCCTGTGTTGTGCCGATCTGTAGCATGCCAAGGGCACGTAACCTTTCATTTTGGGTAAGCCGAGGCATATCAAAATTTGTTTTCTGGTCACTAAAACAATTAAACTGATGTTTCCACCCTGGAATTCAATGCCACAATGACTGTAACATTCAAAGTCAGAGTCGTGCAAATCTTGGGTTTGACCCCCATGATGATCCCAAGCATCACCTGCATTCCATGCGGTAGCTATTGGTGCGTTTGGGCGTCACATGTAACTGGAAATGTTTCTTCTGTTAGGTTCTATAGTGACTTTTTTCGTAGTCATTTGCATATTTTAGTATTATGCCCCCAAAATCAAATATCCCCTACTTTTTTTGAATAGTGTATATTATCTAAGTTGTTGCAGATTATTCATGCAATGCTCCAACAGACGCATCTGGAACATTTAACATGCCCGCTCCCCGTCACTATTTTCAATGTTAAGTGTGGTCAGAAGCACGAAGATGCAGATGAGTATTATGTACTCGTCAGGATTACCCCTCAAAGATGTTGGTCGTCAACTGGACTGGGCTTCCATTACACAGTCATCAGCCTCCTGGTTCGGAACCATGGACAACCTAATGTAGTAAAAGAGTTCCCACATCAAGTCTCAGTGGTTACCCAATCGTTGTAAGCCCGCAGGCAGATGGCCATCAGAAAATACGTCTAGAAAGACAGGATTGGAATCCGGGGTCGTGACGGAGTATCCATTGGACGGGAAGGGACGCAGGCTGAAAGCCGTCAACCTTTAAGGATGTCATGTGACATTTTCTTGCTCCATTCTTAAAATGTCATTTTTCCGTCAAAAACAGTGCAATTCTTTCCGTGGCAATTTCTACATTAAAACATCAAACTAACAATTGTCATGTATGTTGATTAGCAAATTGTTCTTTTCACCAATTAAATTTAATATCCATTACCGCGAGTTATTATTAATTACTCACAAGCATTTCGTTATTGCGCATTGCACAAATTCATAGGTGTATTACAACTATCTGCTGATTACCTGTTTACCAGGCGCCCCACTGATAGAGGCCGTCAACGCTTACTTGTGGGAGATTCGTAAAATTGGAAGTGGTATTGCAACGACACCAGGCCAGTATTGCACTTAAAGCACAAATTTCAGATACGGGGCATCCATACTGTAGATGCCACTCCTGAAGAGTCTTTAAACTTTTTTGTGTTCTGTTTCTAAAATCACGAGTTAAAGCCAATATTTCAAGTTATTTATTTGCTACCGAAACTTATATTTATATATAAAACTCTAGTAGGAAAGTTTTTCAGTACTTTTTTGTGTTCTGTTTCTAAAATCACGAGTTAAAGCCAATATTTCAAGTTATTTATTTGCTACCGAAACTTATATTTATATATAAAACTCTAGTAGGAAAGTTTTTCAGGACTTTTCAACGCGTTCTACATAAACCAGAAAGCCTGCTTGAATAGATATCACATCACATATTATGCCACCCTTTTCCGAAAAGATTGTGAACGCGATAGCAGCCCCCCCCCCTCCTTCGACGAAATATATCTTGTGAAGTTTTCGATGGATTCTTTTTAAATTTGTTGTGAAGCGTTGTGCATAGGCGTACGAGCCGGGGGGAAGTGAAAAGAAAAAATATTATTTCATCTAAATGTCAAAATAAAGTGCCCGAAATCCAATAATACACTAATTTTACTTTTCTTTTAATTGAATACCACGAATTTGTACCGATTTGACTATGGATTAAAACATTTTGTTTGGAGCCACTCTTCTTTGTGCGACATTTTTCGGGCATCAATTATTTGTAGAATGCAGCTGCAACAGTCTGATTGAATGGTTGAAATTCAGGTTGACATAGAGTGTGATTTCGGTTGCAAATTGATTGGAAACTTTGAAGTTGCTTAATTCGCGGCTAGAACAGCAGAAAAACGCATTTGCGGCGGTTAAACTTTCAAAATTTTCTTGGGTACCGCGAGGCCCCCATATACATCACGGAACCATGCATTAAAATGCATCACGGGACCATTTTATGCATAAATTTATCTGATATCTCTAGATTTATCTTGGTAAAAGGACACCGCTGAAACACCCTTCATAAAAGGCTTTTGGTTGATCAAATGTATAAATAATGAATTGCACCCACTATATATTTATCGATGATGTTATACATACGTATACAATTTCACACACCGTCTTCTTTATACAGTATTATATATTATTATTGGCATACTTATTTAACAAGGAAGTTACCTAAATCTCTATTCTTCATTTTTGCACACGTGACGGCGTAAGGGGCATAAAAGGTGTGACTATATTCATTTTATTCGTGCAAACCAGTGAGGTGTTACGATAGAAATTGAAGATATATATTAATACAATAGTCTTAATACTAGGTTCCCACCAGGGGCGGATTTAGACGGAACGGCGGTGGGGGCTGCCGCCCCCTACCACCAACCGTGACACCAAGTAAGCGACCCCGTGAGACATAGTCTCCTCAGGCCCAGTACCAAAAAATGAAAAGCTCAGTTACATATCTGAAATTTGTTGGCGCTCAATTCCATTATCTCTTCATTCTTCCACTCCTCTGTCTTATACTATCTTCTCGCTATCATATTCACGGTTATAGTGAAACGCCCAGTTAGTAGTACAACACAGGCGGAATTGACAGGCAGATTCTGTTCCATTTCTTATCCTCTCGTTCACGAGAACTTGGTCCCATTTGCCATGACATTGATTAAAAGAGCTCAGTTACATATTATACGTTGCTATCTGAAATTTGGGGGTTGGATGGTCGAATGGTTAGCACGTGCGCGCTGTATCATAAAGTCTGTCGTGGAGTCAACTGCCGTGGTTTCGTTTCTCCGGTTGCTCGTGACAAGGAGTAGGGTCGCCTGTCTAACCTCGTGGGTTTTCTCCCGGTCCTCCGATTTCCTTCCACTGCCAAAACCCCTACGCGCAAGCGAATTATTGAAATAAAATTGAATCATGTGTGTTAGTCCCGAAATGACCTAGTTTGTGTCGAGTGGACGTTAAACCCCCCTCTCTCTATATATCACTTTCTGAAAGTTTTTTCGCGCCTAAGTCGCTCGAGTTCATTATGGCACCATACTACCAGTACTCTGTGGTCTTATACTGTCTCAGCACTATCATATTAACGGTTATATGAATTGTCAAGTTAGTAGTATCACTGGTGTGTGGGCCGTGGTGCCCATAGACTCCAATTTCTGGTTCTCTTGTTTACAAGAATTTACTCCCAGCAATGACCTCAAATGTCAGGATATTGAATCAATGTTTTGAAAATTTCCTCATGTTGCTCAGTGTTATAGCCCTAAGGTTCACATAAATTTAATAACAAAATCAATAACAATCATCATAATATATGACATGAACTTTATGCCAACTTTCTGGGATGTGTGCGTTGGGATTTGTGGATGGCGCCCGAAATTTGGAACCGCCCCCACCCCTATTCCCAGCTTCTGGATCCGCTACTGGTTAAAACTATCACGATTATCTCCAGAAAAACGCGTTTGCGACCGTCAAATTTTCCAAATTTTCTTTGGGGGAGGGATTGGGTCCTGCACGGTAACCCCCGCTCCTTCGCCTCACATAGACGACCGGTACCGCCGTCTGTAACCTGAAGCTGAAATTTTTCGGGCATTTCAAGTTCTGCCCCGCTAACATTTATCGAGCCCGATATTTGTGACCCAAGAAGTGTATTTAGGAATCTTATCATGTGTAGAGTTTACTGCTACTACATAAGGTTTTTTGTTAAATTTTTATCAGTAAACGTGATCTCTTGAGATAATGGATTAGAAAGAGTATGTCATTGTTAGTACACAAAGTGATTCTATCTGCGTATTATTTCAACGTTATATAGAGGAGCATTGAATAGTTATTTTATATTTTTATTATTTTCTTTCACAGAAAGTTAAATATGTGGAAAGTTACCAGTGTAGTCGTCTGTATTGTGGTTCTGTCTTTAAAGGGTACGTACACAGTCTCTTAAAGTGTTATATACGCAAAGCTGTACTGTTCATTATTATTATATTAATATACACCTGTGTCTATCAAAAACGAATAGAAAATGCGGTAAGTAATGTTTAGTATGACTGCTCTTCTCGTCCTCCAAGCTTTGGACTAAAAACACCAACCGTGTTTAATATGTTTTATATGATTTAGATTACCCCTAGCACGCTGATTTAATCAGATCTAACGATTTTAGAAATGAATAAAAATAATTTAATCTTATAATGGATAGACGGGGGATATAGGTTAAGTTTCATGTTGGTGTAAGGTGCTGTTTTATTTTATTTTTCTTTATCTCGGGCTCATTTTAGCAGTTTGAGAGAGAGAGAGAGAGAGAGGGAGGGGTGTTGTTAACTTCCACGCGACGGTTCAATTTTATTTCAAAATTTCGCTTGCGCAGAGGAGTCGTTATCTGTGGTGAAATGTGTAAGAGACTATGGCAAATCGGTCCATTTCACAGATAAAACCCACTCACTCGGCAAAAAAATCCACCCATTTGACTATCTGGACTAAGTTCAGGGGGTGGGGGGACTCACCCAAAAAACCCTGTTATGCGCCCATGTGTGTACAAATTAACGCGCGCGTAAAAGATCCCTTGATAGCAGGAATTCGATATAAGAGTAGGCCGTAGCGCCGTTGTTTGGGCAAAATTTGCCTCATGGCACACGGTATGACATATTATGCACGTTTTCCTTGGCCCAATCGGAGCAGAACAGTAGAACGTTAAACCCCATTTCATTTCATTTCTTTTGTTCATTAATTTACACAATTACTCATTTTAGAGCACTCATTAAATCTATCGTCATTTTATAATTTCTCATAGACAAAAATAACATTACTGTGTCCTTATCATTACATGCACCGTTTCTAGAACATAATGTTTCATTACAGCTAGTAGCTCGACCATCCAACTACCAGACTGTCCAAAAATCATCACTCGTGCTGAATGGCAAGCAAGACCTACTCGTGGACAATCAGCTTTACCTGGACCTGTTCAATATGTTTTTATACATCATGGTGCCAGTGGTGACTGTTTTACACCAGATCAATGTGCAGCTACTGTTAGAAGTTATCAAAATTACCATATGGATTCACACAGTAAGCATATCGTTTACAACAATTTGTTTAGGGTCGGTGAAAAATGTCCCTTAAGCCTTCATTCCACCTGCGCCACGTTACATTAAGAATCTCGATGTTACTATTTCTAACCCTAATCCTGGAATATTTTTGGTTCACAGAGGAGTTTGGAAGGCATACTGGCATATTACACCAGCCACAATTTTGTTCATTTTAGTCGAGCGATTAAGCAAAAAACCCAACCCTCGTTTGAGATTTGAGTTATGATGATTTATTTCCAATTTCAAAATCGAACACATTTAGTTAAGCTATTTATCCACCACATAAAATGCATCACATAGACAATATATGATTAATATTTTATTTTTCAATTGATCTCTTGTCTCTGTTGAATATCTGTATTATGGATTGACGTATATCGTTTTTATGACAAAATAATTATATATGTAAAGCCACGACATATTAATTATTTTACGAGATTATAAGACCTTTGTATTTTATGTTTCAACTATAGAATGGGATGATATAGGTTATAGCTTTCTGGTTGGTGAAGATGGGAATGCTTACGAGGGTCGTGGATGGGACCGAGTTGGAGCACATACTCTGGGTTACAACACCGTTGGTCTAGGTAAGTTGTGAATCAGATATACATGTATGTCGTGAGAAACCCTTTGGCTTTTGGGAAGAGAGAAAAGATAAAAACCAATCTTTAAAGGACAGAATGCATATAGTCACACTCACAATAATATATTACATCAAAAGAATACAACAAGATGAATGATAATTTACCGGAGGTGGCCTCTTAAGAGAGGACATGATGCATGGAGTGCATGAGATAATACAATTAATAATCATATTTTGTAGTAGGTAATTAAACATAAATAAGGTATTCAATTGTATGAAGTGGAAGGTGGTTGAACGTCTTATTGGCGCATTATTTACGTCATTTTGAAACTAGCATGTCGTTTTTCTATTTACTACGATTATGTATTCGAAATGTGGTTCCCCGTCAATGGTTCTTTTGTACGTGCCTGCCTATGTGTACACCGACGCAATATTATAGATGTTCACCCATTACGACTCAAGGCACACTTTTCGTTTATGTAATAACCCCATCAGATCAGGGTGGCGTCCTTACTGCGCTGCTACGGCGGCGGAAAATGGTCTCAGAGCGCGTCAAGATCGCCATAACCGTGCTAAAGGCGTGGTGGAAACGCCAGATATCGTGCTGTGGTCTCCATGGTCGCCAAAGATCGCCGAGTCACGGCGTTTTTTTTAGCATAAAGCCCCCTTCACACATAACAGATCTCGCTCCGCTTTTACTACGCGCAAAAATTTCAGTAGATCGATGTGAGTCGCGAAAACCACGTCCCTGCTACGCTCTTGCCACACTCCCCCACGCCTGCACGACGCCCAGCCATGTTTTAGAAGACCATGCCACGTTGATACCCCGTTCTTGCTACGCTGTTGATTGTGGGGGTAAAACTGGGCCTCGTCCATCAATTCCAGCCTTTGGAAATCTCACACATACACCATGACCTAAATAAAATCCGCCAGATCGTGTCTGAGATCGGCATCGACGTGGCGAGATCTTTGTGAGCGTGGTGGGGTCATGGTAGGAACGTGGAAATCGTGATAGGCCACGAGAGCGCAGTGAAAGTGAAAGTATAGCGATAGTGGGAAGAGCTTAGCGGCAGCAGGGGGCTTTGGTGCCAATGAGCGTAGCTCGATCGGCAAGAAATTGACCACGCGCCCATCACGCTTTGCCACGACCTCAACACGCGCCCACTACTCTCTATAAAATTTTTACGCGCGGTGAGCGTAGCAAGTACTTTGTTATGTGTGAAGGGGGCTTTACGAAAAACTTAGCGCGATCTTATTGGTCGCGCAGCGTATTAAGAGCGTGGTCATGTGCGTTCCCTCTGCTCTCGGTACGCTGTTCCCGCTCTCACTACGCTGTCGCCACGCCTTTTTTTTACCAACACGACTTCGTTACTCGGATAGGGCCATGTTCCAAACCCACGTACTGAAGTCATGGCTAATCCCGATCTCCCACGAACCTACCACGCTGACAAAGACCTTGCCACCTCCATGCCGCTATCAGTCAAGAGCTAGCTTGTTTTTTAAGCCGTTGCGAGCTCTTGTGTAAAGGTTGTATAAGCAAGGCATACGTCACTGATCGATCCAGAACGTGGCCTTAAACACTCCTAAAGAATCTCCGAAACTTGTACATTCTAGCTTTGATTCCAGTGTCCTAAACGATCGTGTAGTGTGCCCCACGCATTCGGTTGAAGAAAAGGGGTTATGAATAACGGATTGTGTTTTTATTAAAGCTATGTAATAATTACAGGTTTTTGCATGATTGGAAATTTTATGCAACGTCTTCCAAACCAAGCTGCTCTAAATACCTTAAAACAATTGATTGCTTGTGGAGTACAGAATGGTAAAATACAAAGTAACTACACACTACGTGGACACAGAGATATGGGAAGCACCGCTTGTCCAGGGACCACATTTTATAATCTAATTCAAACCTGGCCCCATTACACCTAATTGCTAGGCTAAAGCCTAGTTCACAACCCGCCGTGCGTGCTACTACGGGCAGTCTACGGGAAATTCTTTTTTTTAGTATACTCATGTGTAAGACTTACGCATTGCTGGCGTGTGTTCGGCATCGTAGAAGATCACAGACTGGCCGTAGAGACTTTTGGTCCTGCACATGTAAAGTTTTCACCCGGTTTCTTGCGGTTGGTCTGCGAGCTACCCAACCTACGACCCGTGCGTGTCCAAACACGTACGGCGGATTGTGAGCTACGCTTTAAATAACACTACTTTATCAGGTATAATAAAATATTTTCACACTATTCAATGCCCATTTTTTTCTTTAAAGAAGAAGCCGATAGAAAACGTTTAATTCTATGGTAATGTGTGTAATGACTATAGACAGGAGAAATTAACCTGGACACGGCGGCTTCTTTCAATTCCATCTTTCAACGGTTATTTTACGGGCTAACCAATGTGCACAGGGATGAACCTCGAGAGAACAATGTCCCGATTCCAATGCCCCTTTTCTTGGAAACAATTGATTCGGGAAGGAAATTTTTAAGGAGTATTTTATCAGTATTTTCTGGTGAATCGTTAGTGTTTCTGTTTTGAATTCAGAATGAAGACAAAACCGACATTACATAACATATGGATACCAGAGTAGGTATGACTCTGTCATCTTCGCTTACTCACTATCCGGAATCTTACTATGTACTGTTGAGGTTTTATGATGCTCCGGGTCCCGGTTATTTTACACCGATAAAGTCCAGCAATTTGATTTATTGTATTTTTCATGCCGGGGGGTTGGATGGCCGAATGGTTAGCACGCGCGCGCTGTATCATACGGTCTGTCATTGAGTCAACTGGCGGGGTTTCGATTCCCCGGTTGTACGTGACAAGGAGTAGGGTTGCCTGTCCAACCTCGTGGTTTTTCTCCGGGTCCCCCGGTTTCCTCCCACTGCTAAAGACCCCTACGCGCAAGCGAATTATTGAAATAAAATTGAACCATGTGTTAGTCCCGAAATGACCTAGTTTGTGTCGAGTGGACGTTAAACCCCATTTCTCTCTCTCTCTCTCTCTTTCTCATTTTTCATGCCACAAATACCATTCTCACACAAATATAATTGCCTATACAGTTTTGTTTTTCTGGTTTCGTTGAATAGTCAGATTTGTTATTGTAAACAATAAAAGAATAATAACTCTGCTATTAAAATACATTTATTTTTTAAACATAAATATATGGAGAATAAATTTCAAAAATATATTTAAATTTAAAACTTTATTATGGCAGTATAATGTAGGTGTAAAATGAGCTGGGAGTATAATGATATGTTAAGGTAATAACATCAAATATATTAAATACATCACATCCCTGTGTCTACAGTTTAAAGAAACAACAGAAAATCTAAAAACAGTTGCTTATTCTATACAATCGAAATTGTTCAAGGACCTAAAAGAAGTTAAAAAGTTAACACTTAACCCTTGTGCGGATACCCTTGTGGGACCGCACGACCATATCCTTATCATTTGTGGGGAACTGGTTCATAATTGTCTAGCGAGAATTTTATACATTGTCAGCTACTTATCGTCGCATATAATGCTGCAAATAGAACGGAACTGGGGCATTGGCAACATTCACCATGTGATAAGAAACTAAAAGTATTACATTATCGGAAACGAGGGGTCTTGTAGACCCCCCCCCCCTTCTCCTTTCCTATAACATTTTGCTGGTTACATGTGCCTAATCTGTTTTGTGCTCAGTGCAAGCTTTGTATTTGGAATCGTTCTTACTGATGATATTGTGGTGATCATTCTAATAATGTAGATCTGAAAACAAATCTAGGTACTCTACCAACCCCGTCAAAAGCCGATTCTACATGGAAATGATAATTAAGCTATTTGCAGATTTTGATGGTTGCAAAAAATACTTTATAATTCATATCTTCACTGTTAATACCTCAAATATTTTTTTAATTTGATTGATTATTCTTCAGCCTTTATATGAAGCTCTAGTTTGATCGTATTTGAATAAAGTTATGCATACAAAAACCTCTTAGGATCTTAGATTACCCCTTGTTGCCGACAACGTTTTTCGTGCGACGTGTTCGTACAAGGGTTAAGAAATGTGCAATATAAAAAGTTTCAGTAAAATTTGTCTATAAACTAACAAGTTACTAATGTTTTATGACAGAAATAGAGATGCCTACAATTGCGAAATGAAAAGTATGGATTGTCTTAAACCAGGTATCCCTTTTCACCACACTTGTAGATTTCTTAATTCCTTGAACGTTACACAACGTTAATAATACATTCCCCGTCAACCCCAGAAAGCTGGTCTGAAGAAAAGGTGGCTTTTAATTCTCTGTTTTTCCCTCTTTTTAATGGCCATATCTGTATATCCACTTTGGCTTCTTTTCCCGGTTGGATTGGCTTCCTATAGTTAGAATAGGATGCATCAAAATAATATACAATTATAATATAATAATAATTTTGAGATATCTTTGTACGTAAAAATGGGGCTACCTTTACATTATGATAAAAGGTAACATCAGGTGATATTCTTGATAGGGGCGCTGTGATAAATTGCACTACACTGAGACTTTTAGAAAAGTTGAAGGCGGGAGTGTAAAAGAACGACAAATAATTATGAAAAAAAGATAAAGATATGTACACAATGTTTAAAGTGGAGTCCTAGAGTAAAGAATTACAAAAACAACCAGACAATACTAGACGATCACAAGGCTATTAAAATATGTATCAGAGAAGAGAGTATGCGTCACACGTTGGATTTTGGGAGATTTTTGGTAGAGTGCCTTTCCACATTTAACAAGCGATTCATAGCATTGCTTATCACTACATCTTTGTTTTGGGTGCCGAACAGCATAGTGCTACACCAGAAACTCCTGGTAACTGAGCCAGTGCTTTACTTACTGACTATAGTTCAAACTTTCGTTTTACTTATAAAGACTAGTCTTATTTATTTTTTTACTTGTTATATTTACCTTAACCGTGGATGAGCTCTTACATAAACATGTGCACCTTCAATGTTAAAGTCTGGATTAGTGAGATTTATTGGAAGAGGATTAAAGAAATAAACTCTAACATCTGAATATTCTTTTGCCTTCACTTCCTTATTAACCTACAAAAAGAATAAAAAAATAATTCCCATAATGTATTTCACAAAAAAGTGTAAATTCTTATAGGGTATATTATTTGATTGAAACTTGGTTAAATATAATATTGGCTATTGTAAAGACGTCATGAAATCACAATTATATATATTATTTTCTGGTGTATATTCTTAGAGGGGCTGTGCATATTGTAAAATGTTACAATAAAAATGAAACAAGCTGTAGCCTGTATAAATCACGCGGAGGGGGAAGTGGCGACATTACTTTTAAATTTGACAGAAAACATATGGATTTAACACATTCACCAAATTTATCTGAACATTTACTGAGTGGGGACTCTGCTCCACAAACTTCCGCATGGCACTAACTTGTTACATAAGAGATTGTTATTCTACCTTTATTTGTAGTTCTGGTTTTATGAAAGTCAGAGGTTCTTTCTTAACTAATGTCTGTGCAGTTTCCCCAACTTTAAAGTAAGCATACACCACCAAGCTGGCCTCGGGTTTCAACTTAGAGACATAGTCCATTGCTCGAACATGGGTTTTAAAACTATAGTCTGAAAATGCAATTAATTGAATGAAATAAATTGAGATTTTTACATCCTGCTTTTACTTACGTACACGCCAACGAGTACACGGGATCTTGGTTATTTTTTGTCCCATCCGAAGGATTGACGCTTTCCTTGTCAGCCCCCCCCCCCCCTTCCTGCATCACTGATAGGGAGAAACCACGCTGGAAAATTCTGGGCAACTTTCTCGGCCAACACCGGGATGAACCCCGGACCTCCTGGTTAGTGAGCCAGGGCCTTGCCATTGATCCACCGGCGTCCGCCATTAGATAAGAATAACAATACTGGCATCACATTTGAATTTAACGGACCAACATGGCGGGTTACACTTTATTCCCGATTTGGCAAGGATGAAAAAGCATCAGTTAAACATCTATTTGATTCATTATGAACCCATTTTATAACAGCCCAGAATTGATTGATCATGTTGTTTCACTTTCAACAACCCGAGTGTTTGATATCAGTATAAATCTTTGCCTTGTGGTTATATTCATTATTTATTTATTATTCGTTTACATATTTTACTTTTTTACTTATTATAAGGCTTCTTGAGTCTATTGAATACTATATTATATATTTTGTATGCGTTCCAATTTACTTGCAAAAAATAAAGGTCAAGGTCGCAAAATGAAATAAAATTTAACGTCATACTGGTATTTTAGATTTTTCCATGTCTTTAAATTTTAAACTTACCCGATTTCGCTTTGATGGTATGTCTACTGAATTCTCCAAATATCTTTTGGCCGCTAAGCCCAGTGTACGACGAGACGCTGACTGATACTCGACCTTCAATAGTTCGAGTTTGGCTGGAAGTATTTTTCACTATTAAACTAAAGTTGAGATCTTTGCCAATTAATGTATCCGGAATATCAAGAGACATCTTCATGTCTTGCTTATAGATTTTCAAATGAGATCGTGTACTGAATTTGAAAACACGCTCCACTACTTTCCTTTCTTCGGCATCTAAGGATAAAAAAAGAAATAACAAAATATATATAAATAGTTTTATATAAAGTAATTTATTCACAGAAAATGAGTGCTTACATAAGTATGATGCACTTAATAACAATATATTATTGTAGACATTTGAGATAAGGGTTTAAACTTTGGTTCTAACATACGTTTCAATAATAAGCAGTGGTGACCCCGAGGCAGCTATACTCACCCCACTTGACTCAATTACAGACCTTATGATTCAAAACGCACGCATTAGACCACCCAACCCCCTTACAATCCACACAGAAAACATTGTTGACGATACTTGTTTGTAACGCTTGTAGAGTATGTCGGAAGGCAGAGATCAAAAGTGAGGCTCCGGAAATGAATAAATTATAAGCAGAACATACATTGTAACATGGCATATGGACAATAAGAAAATGGTTGATATCACAAATTAGGATAAAGATCAAGTAGTTCAATTTGACAAGGGATATTCGAAATTTGTTCACAGGATTTCTTTCTACACAACGTATCTGTCAAAAGTACAGGTATACTGTTTTCGGAAAAATAATTATCGGTATCAATACACCCGACATTTACCGTATTATGAACCCATAGATAAAGCTTGGGTATTTAGCCTTCTGTTTCCTTCAATAGTATACGAAGATATCTAACACATATTAAACAAATCGCACCGTAATGAAGAAAATGTAGGCTGCTTTGAGTGATAAAATTAGAAATTAACCGTTGCTGCTTTCTGTCCGCACGATGCCTAAGAATAAATTCCATACAGGCTGCTAATTATCGTAATTTATCGAGGAATGACGAGTTGTAGATGGTTTCGTTAGTATTGGATTAAGAGAAGATGGGCGGACGTATAACTTTGTGCATACTAACCATTTTCTTTATGTTTGTAATGTAGAGTAAGATCTTCTCTTTCTGAACTACCAACAGCTTTAGTACTGATAAACTTTCCTACTGAAGAAGAGTCTATTTCAATAGCTTCCATCTTGGAACCATCTTCACTTACCTGTCATTGAAAGAAATTAATATGTTTACTGTAATTTATAAAGTTGTAACGTTAGGAAGTAATCGTATTTTAATGCCTCGGCAACAACGGAGTTCAACCTCCTACTTTACTGCACCAACCGGGATAACGCAGATGGGCATACGCCATGTAGTATTTTGCCTTGTCAGCGACGCCAAGACCTCGTATTTTCAAATGTAAAGGTTGTCCTTAACATAACGGATAGGACATGAAATGGGGTTTGACATCCTACTGTTTTGCACCATTTGGTATAATGAAGAAGGAGCTTGGTTTGTCCGAACGAATAGCCGCCTTTTTGTCAGGCCCTCCAACACAGGGATCGAACCAGGCACCATACGCAACGAGGGTTCGTGGTATAATCATCACACATGCGCATTGTAGAAATCAATATGGGCCGGGAATAGAATATGAACGCGTTCTGTGACTGTGGATATTAAAATTTAAATAAAGGTTCAGGATAGCTTGTATTGTTTTGAAATAAGGGTTGTATATTGTGATAACATATGGAACATTTTTGTGTAAATCCTTACTTAATATTAGAATGTTTAGTGAAATCGGGACCTGGTCTGAGGCCTCGTTCATTTCATTTATTATCATGCCCTGTGATGTAAATAGACACAATACTACACTGTATAACATTTTGAACAACAGAAAGGAAATGAAATCTGTGTTTAATCAGATAACCTTTAATGTGTCATGCGCAATATCGTTTACTCTGTGATATCGGTACTCAGTGAGTTGCCGTTTGGTGAATCATAACTACACGTAACAAAAAATTATTCTAAAGATATCTAAGCAAGTTACATTGAGAAGTGTAAAACATACCTTCCAAAACACCCTGTCACCATTTACCTCACTGAATATAAATCGTACATCGTGATTCAAATGAATATCTCCATTTTTAATTGCTTTTAGTGAAGCTGGTCCACATCTCATTACACCTAATTACAATAAACATGTAAAACATTATAATTAACCATAAGTTGTTTCCTGTTGTGAATGGGGGCGAGTGACTTTTGGACTAGAATCTTCTTGGTTCGAACCTCCAAAGTTTGTCAAGTTTGGCATTCGGAATTCGAGGAATAATAGGTTAAAACTTCGGCGAACGTGAGAAATTCTTTTTCGTGGGACTGTTAACTTGGCCATGTTAAGTAAATATACGGGGCCCTTATTAACAAAAACTTAAACTAAAATCCTTAAAATCGATTTCAACAAAACTCAAATTTTCTCTTAAGATAAACCGTATTCACTAAGTTAAACATCTATTTTAGTCGATTTTAGCTAAAATAGCACATTGTCAAGACAATTAAACCATATAACGAATTGAACTAGGGATTTTCACGGATAAGGGGAGTGAAGTCTTACATTCAATCTATCAAGACCAACATCAAGCAAATGGATAACGTTTACTTACCATCACTAACCTCTTGAGGCGTTGCATCATGGGCTTGCCAGCCATCATAACCATCGGGTAAATCACGTCTGCGAAACCAAGACTCGTTCCAGACATGAAAATTCCTGAGTTAAAATAAAACTCTACATTTTGAATATATCTATAAGTTAGCATCGGTGATAATAATTAGACACTCAATAAAGTCATCTTATTTGTGGAAACTAAATCTTAAAATTGGTTTTGTGGCTTTTTCATCATTCTAAATTAAAATCCTAACACAGATTGAAGAATATGTGTTTAAAAAATCAGGCAGTTTTCATTTAGCCTTTGGACTCGTTACAGCAAAGAAAGAAAAGGCATCACAAGCATTCAATATAATTACCAGATAGAGTCATCCATGTCCCTAATAGGTTCACCATCTTCATCAAAATGGGAATCTATGGTCATACTATTATCTGTATCGTGAGCGGAAGAAAAATTGGTCACAGATCTTGTAGGTATACCCAGGGCACGTAACACTGAAATAATTCACAGATCAAATAGATAGATATGGGTCACGAGGCAATGGGACATAAATTTATAACTGTAATGTTATAACGTTGAACTTCATAATATGATACTAATATTTGTATGACATAATCTATATTTAAATAACTTTTACATCAGTGCCAAGATCTTTCGGCCTTAATGTAAAAGTTATTTAAATATAGATTATTAGCATTTTTGCTCAGGAAACCTGAGAGTTTGTTTTTATATACATGTATATATATAATTATATCGATCATTGTTAAGACAATTTGGAGTAAGGGTTGGGTTACATTGGTGTTCTGCAAATGAATTTTTAAGTAACCGCAGTGACGTGAATCCAATGTAACTATCAAAGATCAACCCCTGCTACCCAATCCAGTAAATAGTGCCTCGTAAATCCAGGCAGTCAATCTCTGATGCATTCAATTTTATGGGTTTTACCTGGTTAGAACGGAGGTAGCTTTAGCTATGTAGATTTAAAAACACCGTTTGAACACGACATTGTGTATCTTTTCGTAAGGTATATATTAAGGATCTAATACGTGACAAAGACTTACGTGTTGTTACCACGCCAGAGAAAACCCAACATTGGCCATATCTAACAGGTTCGCCTTTTTTCATAAATTCTTCTAAAATACGCACACTCCCATTCCAAGCCAATGGTCTTGTGCAGTCGCTTGGGTAATCCGATGTCCAACGACCCTCTAAAACCCCATCGTCATCACAACTATTAGTCTAGAATAGATCATAGAAAAGTGTATTTAGTTCTATGAATAGAATAAAGTGTAAACCATCATGTAAAACTATTAAATACAAACTATATATAAGTCCATGAAATTTTAATGCATCAATAACAAAAGACCGGATTAACATGAGGTGGGCGTTTCCAAATCTTAAATAACGACAGCGTTGAGCTTTTGTGTAATTATTTGTTTGCTTACTCAGAAATCATCGCATACAAACCTGGGCAGAAATTACACGAACTATGCTAACAATACTTCTTCTGGCACCTTCCTTAAGCTCTGCTCTATCCAACAGATACATAGCAGCTTCTAAACAAGGTTCGTCAAACTGTAAATGTACAAATCAGTATCATCAATGACGGCCAAGAAATAATCCAGTTGGAAGTCATCGACTTTTTCCTGGATACAACAGCCTGAAAGAGAGCGACTTCGGTTCGGTTTGATGAATTTCGCTAGGCCACAGTAGTCAAAGCTACAACGTGATAAGAACAACGATGTTTACCTGACCAAAAACCCAAGGTCTACCTCTATATGACCTTGACGAACCAGCCCATATCATACCCGACTCATTCATAACATATTCATTTCTCCAACTTTCATTTTTCATATACACATCATCCTCTGAAATAAATAATCAGTAATAAATGGTTGGCTCTTGCTTAAACGGTTGTTGTAATAAGAGCGCCTGGAAAACTTTCAGTCTAATCAAAATTAGAATAAAATTTCATCCCGTCATTTTTTATTAACATTAGAAATAAAAAGAATCGAAATTTACGTCAGATCGCAAAGCCTTATTCTTACTTAACTACTCAAGCTCAGATATCACATCCGAGATGTGAAATCTAGAAAACCAGAAGGGGAAATGGTGACTGTTTGTTATTTTCGGTTAATGTTCAGGGCTATAATTTAAAAATGGCAATAGGAACTAAACCCATTGAGAGGAACAAGGCAACTGATCGGAATTTACCTGGACACCAGGGATTAAAGATGATATAAATATCTTCGTCTTCAACTTCAAACCTCGAGACTTTATCGCTATCCTTTAGTTTAGTCTCAATAAATAACTTATATTTTCCAATGATACTGGTTACTGGTGGCGTTACGTCAAAACTCACATCTTTATCCGTTATCTTCACCTTATCTACCTTCCACTGATATAGGTCAGTAGTCATGGTGGTATTAGCTCCTGTCTCTGGCAGGGCCAAAGTAACCAAACTGCCTTTATTCTCCATCGGCTTTCGGCCTTAAATATAAGTGTAATATGTTTGGATTAGCAGCAACTGTATTCCCCCAAAAATATAAATAAATTAATGGTTATGTTAACTGAATTTGATTTGAACTGTAATGACAGAATTGTTAGACTGTCTTTTTTGTCTTGTGTTAATGTACTGAATTGGTCGGGTCGTGTTTTGGGAGATATAGGCTGGTAGGGGAACTTCGGATTTAGGTGAGCTTGGGAAAAAAATTCGAAACAAATGATTCTTGCCTTTTATGAACCCAAAGCCAGGTTACACGTGTGCTCCCCAGACTCTGTCTTCTACAAAATAGCCCCAAAACCTTTCGAAATTTTTATTCTCACTTGACTCCAAAGACTTTCGTAATAACATCAATGTAGGTTCGTCTCCTACGGTATTGTCGACTTGGTCACGCCCCCCCCCCCCAAACACGCTTGTTACCAGACCACCTCAACACAGCATAATGAAATTAAGTTCACCGTGGGCACAGTACGAGACAACAGTCTTCCCTTTCTAGATGTCAATATCAGAAGAACCAACAAACCGTTCCAAACTACAGTTTATAGGAAACCAGCCCACAACAATCAGTATCTCCATTACAAACCCAACGACGACTCGTATCAGGCCAAGTGAGCCACCATCACGACACTCACCAACCGTCCCTTAATATCTGTGACCATATCTACTTCATAATGCAATCTCAAACAATTTCAGCATTTAACCAAAATCCTGCTACTCAACACAACAAAGTTAACAATAACTGAGCCATCACCCATCCGCGTCAGCATACAATTACATGACAGTACATCCTACCGAATCAGTATGGTGGATATTAATAGTTGCGCTAATAATATTATTTTTTAAAAATCATGGTGTTGGGGGTGTTTATGGTTACTTGCAATTTGATAATACATTTAGAGTGTGTAAAGTTAAATAAGGCGGTTTTACAAGAATCATTCATTTTGAGGTCGGATACCAAAACTAAATCCCCCATTAAAAAAATTGCCCAAGGTAGATAGTGGTGGATTTTTTTCATAGAGTTCTATGCACATATCTCCTTACAAAAAAGCAAAAATCATTTGTTTCGGATTTTTTTCCCCAGGTTGGAGTGTCTCCTACCAGCCTAATATATATATATATATATATTGAAGCAGCACAAGTCCATCAATCATTGGATCGAAATACTGTGCACACGGTGACTGGATGTTTGATTATTATCAACATCTAAGTAATATCATGGACTTTGTTGTCTTTATCATCTGTGGCCAATGGTGGGTAGCATCTAAGCAGAAAGTGTAGCGCGTTAATGCTTCAGAATTTCCAATACGTTGAAAGTAAACAGAAAGGGTGGCACTCATCTGAATTAACTCATTTTAAATTATGTAAATTAGCGGACTATGATATCCTAAACAAACCTGTAGTGAGCTGTATGCTGACAATGTCATATTTTTGGTCGGGTTTTCTATCAAAACTGACTGTAATTTTGAAGGGCTGGCCTCGTCTTACTACTAGATCATCGTTATCATACTCATCTGCATGGTGTTTAGCTCTATTACTCTCTTCGTTAAAGTCTATTTTTGTTACATCCAGAGATTTATCTGAAATAGGTAAGTTTTATATGTTGGTCATTTGAACATTTGTTCACGTGTATCTTTGAGCAATGGAGAGAAACAGCAGACCCTGGAGAAGTCCCGTGAAGTGAACAGACGACTCAAAAGTCCTTGTCATGATTAGGCACAAGAACGGGACCGAAACCTCAGCACTACTAGCATCGATGAATTAGCTTATGATCTAAAGCGCATGCTGAGATCGCTCGGGCAGCCAACTCCATTCTTTAAAAACAGATCAAGCGGATGATGAAAATGTATTTAATCTCCTACGATACGGCTGTTAATTTATAGTTCAACCAACTCCTATTCCACCAGAGGATATATTATAAAACAATGAGTCATTTGTTTTATCAAATATGTGCTAGTCACTCTTACTGTATTGTGATGATATTAAGAGTCCAGATTTTCGGTGCAAACTTTGTCCAAAATATATAAATAATTACTATGATAAATATTATTTTCAAACCTGCTTTGGTCGGTTTAACGGGTTTGATAACATATCTCTTCCAAAATTCAAAATCACTTATATCTGTAGTTGTTCGCCCACCCATCAGTTTATCCAAATATGTACGTCTCCTATAATAAATTATGTTAATATAAAACTACTACAAAATTTACAATTCTTATAACTTTCTTGTAAATATAAGTAATGATTCTCTAATAATTCTTTTCAATAATAAATAATTCTTAATTTGATTCGGCACAAAAAATAAGTTATGTGAAAATGTAAAAGTGTTTACGTCTGCAATTAAACTATACTAGAAGGGGTTGGCTTTATATAGGTGTGGCTGAGATGGTCCTTCAGATATTTTAAGTCTGGAATGGTTCTTCAAATCTCTAATACTGGAATTTTATAATAATAATTATCTACATGCAATTACAAGACTACAGATCAACATAAAAGACTAACGTTTTAATGGACATGCATGTACTCGTGCTTATGTGGAATTAAATCTAAACACTTGTCGAGATCAAGACATGTTGACATCAAGCATTGATGTAATAACTTACAATATTATAAAAAATAAAATTATGGTATATACAACAATTAATAGATTAATCATACGATTGCCATGTTCACCAGACACACCATATTGACAGTAACTTCCTATAAAGGTTTTAAAAACAATAGGGGATTATAATAAGTTTTCATGCTTTGGCTAGTCACATGTTAATAGTACACGCGCGATTAATGTTTTGAAAGAATAGACACACATAGGCGTACGGGTCAGATCATCTTCAACAGAAGGCTTAATCTCGCTTTTACTACGTAAAACTCGCAGTAGTTGCTTCAGGAACATGGGATCCGATGGACGTTACGACCTGAAATGCCCCCCAAAATTCCCGTTTACACACGGCGGTGTCAGTCCTCAGCAAGTATTCAATTAAAAGAAAAGTAAAACTAGTGTTTTATTAGATTTCGGGCACTTTGCCAAGCAGAGTGGCTGCAGACAATCCATAGTCAATTTAGTACAAATTCGCGGTATACAATAAACAGAAAAGTAAAATTAGTGTTATATTAGACTTCGGGCACTTTAATTTGCCAACTAGATTATATCATAATTTTTCACCCACTTATTCAATAAACAGAAAAGTAAAATTATTTTGTCAACTATAGGTTATATCATATTTTTTTCCGCACTTTATCCGTCTGCCCAAAAGTTAAGGGGGAGGGGGCAGTTGATATAATATAAGCCCAAACTTTGTAATTAACTAAAAAAAAATCCTACATTATTATATATATTGTAGTTATAAAAACTTAAAATATGAATATTGATAAATAACGGCTGTTGCTGTCTTGTCATTGCGGGCTGTAAACCCGGAATTTTACAGATATTTTTACTATTTATGCCAATAATGAACAATTGGGTTCATTTACTCATTATACGTTATAATTGATTAATCAATTAACCATATAGGTCTGTATAAATAGATTGCAGAAGTGAACTTTTGACCTGGTAGATAGATTATAATAATATACAAAACATTTATATAGCACTGTCTTCACCGAAGTGCTCCGATGTGCTTTACCTATACAAATACATATATTTTAAAAGATGAATGATAATAAATATACAAAGTATAGTACGTAAACTAAATAAATGAATATCCATATCTAACTGTAAAAATAAATGGTTTTAATTTAGTCTTTAAAACTTACTATTCAATAGCTATTATGTAAATTAAAGGGATTTGGACTTTATACAATAAAAGATCATTGCTGGGATTTAAGGTGACCAGAAGATGATCTGAGACTTCAACGGTTAAATAAAATGGCGCCATAATTTATACACTTAAATGTTAAAGAGTCATTAGGCGAGAGCGGTTTTCTGACTTCAGATAATATATGAATTAATAAACATTATAACCAACTCTCTGGGACACCAGGTGGCTTAACTGTTGAATGGATTTGACACTACTCGCTCTCTGCATTAAACATTAACATGGCCGAAGACTGTTGATAACCGGACTTTCTATCGATGTTTCATCTATTGTCATGGCAATCGAGAATGACGAGAATAAGAACTGTGGGAGGGGCTATCCACCTGCGATGGCTATTTATTATCAAAACTTCAAACATTTATAACTTTGCCCAGTATAAATTAACTTGATTGAAATTTTAAATATATTTATTTTTAATTATCTATTTTGAACCATTAACGCAATATCGATCGTCTTTATCTCTAAATTTCGCACAATGTATGATTAATAGATATTTTCCCATGAAACGTTTCATATGCTAGTATTTTCCATGGTTTAATTAATTTGTCTAAAGAAGCTCCCACATTATGTATCTTATGTTACAACATTTTACAAAACTATTCAGACTACATCTCTTAAATACAAAGTCCTCCAACCACTCATCGTTGGTCAACTTATTGTTTAAACGCCATCTTTATTGTGTCATTATTCCCTTATCTTATTTCATTAAAATAATTTAAGTTTCTTGTCCTAACATCATAACAATTATTATTCATATCCGTTTATATGACTTTATTTAATATCCTCATTCTTATCAATTTGATAACCGGGAAGAAAAGCTCGTAAAAAAAAATGTCTACACTTTCTTTAGTGTGTACATGTTTGTACGGATTCATTGTTTTGTAAGTTTCATTAGTTTATTTTTTTGATGAACTGTGTCTACATATTTGATTGTCATATATTTTATATTTATATTATTTCATAAAAAAAAACTTTTGGCGTGGTTTTTCTCTGCTTTTGGTTACATGTATTTGTGACTTAGCTTTCGTATTTTGCTCTACCACTTCGACTGCATTACTATTGACTGTGCGTATACTCTTTCATAAACACTCGATACCACTTATACCACACTAATTGTTCATGGAAATTATCAATTTATCAAGATGTCTACACAAATCTATGAATAAACACTTTGAAATTTACTTTCCTGTGGTTATTCTTGGGCAATATTGTATCAGGGACATCACAGCTATCTAGTGTGCTTAGTTCAAAGTATTTGCATCCTTTTTTAATTATACCAACGCTTTAAACATGTTCTCATGTTATACGTATTTTTACTAAATAGTGTAAATTAAGTGATATGGTGTCTTTCCAATGTCTCGTGGTTTGTTGCATATAACTATAATAAGGTCGTGATGTTACATCCTAATAATATTTTATTATACTTGTTGTATACCATTAGGTCAACCAGATAACAGTATTTACGGGATTATATAGCTCTATCAACGGAAGTTCTACTTCGATTTTGTTACAGAATCAAACTTATAGCGGATTTAACTTTGTCTCTTTAACGTGACAGTCACACATTTTTCAAGGTTATACCTAAGAATCGAGGAGTTTAATAATAACATTTTTAGAAAAGCTGTAAATAAGCACAAATATTCATGAATAACTTACGATCTGGTGGTCATCCGATGTGTACTTGCTCGATTTGGTCGTCTACGAGCCATCTTAAATTATTATCTTTCTGTGAACCAAAAACGCTGACCTTGGTGAATCTTGAAAAATGGGTTATACGGTTGAACGGCACTGACGCGAACTGTGCAGTAATTTGATCTGAAATTGAATAGATCCACTTGGACTAGTTACTATAATATGTTTTGTGCATGTATATAACCAGCTGAGCTCATACAAGCATTTATACTGTGTAAAAGTAAACGTATGTTCGGCAACAACCAGCCATCAAGTCGACCCGTAATCGCTCAAAAGTTATCATTCAGCGCCACAGCATTTATTTGCATGGTCAGTTTATGTGTGGCTGATTTAGTTCTGTGGGTATAAACGTTCAGTGCTCAATAAAACCGTTGGTTACCAAACTACTAGGGTGAAACGCATCGGGTCAATGATTACCATATGTGTTAATTGTTATCGCAAGCACTGATATACTTAATTTTATCATATCATACTTTCCACAGTGTTTCCGCCCATATAAACTACTGCACTGGTTGTATACGGTTCTGGGTTTAGTCACATGCTAAACTTCAGCTCAAAGCCTCGCAATTCGTGATTTTAACTATTTTTTTTATAATGTCAATAGTGTAATATATACATCGATTGAGATTCAAACGGCATGCCTGCTATTATTTAGGATGCATCTTAAGATTTTCCACGGTTACAATCAGTTACAGGTTTTTTTTCACCAGAACAGTATAATATTACCCCCCTCCCCCCACACACACACACCCACCCCCTCACACCCATCTCGCATCTACATATTTCGTCAAATTTGACAATTCCCTTATTATATTTCTATAGTTCTTAAATTGATAACTATTGTAACAAAATTCGCTTACCTGCACAAAGTATTCCCTGTAAGATAAGATAAGATAAGATTTTATTGTATCATTCTTTAAAACAGGTTCGTATTGAATACCAACAGAGCGTGTCAGCGCCTGTGCATTTCTTCCATGTTGTGATTTACATTCACACATGTATAAATAGTCCTATTCATTAATATTACAGTATATAATAATATAGCCCTATATAAAATATTGTTATAACGTGTAGGACTATTGATACGCTGTATGATTGACCCCACTATATATTATGTATTCTACATGGTTTGTTTACACTTGTAATATAAATGTGAGCTAAAATATATTGGGGAAATTGAAAGTCATTTCTAGAATAAATTTGAAGTTGACCCCTCTGATAAAATGTTTAAAATTCAGGTATTAATAGGAGATATTTATGGTCATGTAAAGTAGCGGATATCTTGAAATACCTTTATTCTGTGAGGTAAAACCTCTAGTTACTACAGATACATTTTTTTTCATATAGCGCGATCAGTATAATTGTCACTAACCTGGTAATCATGACTTATTAAATCTACTGATCCACTCTGAACCGAGATTTTAGCCTCGGTCATCAGTACTAAAGTCAGTACATTAAAAAACATAGTCTCGATTATCCATTTATGGATTAAATCATCAATGAGCGTTCAGCGGCAAATCGGATTTCAATCCAGTAAATATCGCAGGCTAGCGATGACATCGAGAGTTGATTGTGGTCTGTATTAGTTAATTAATGCCTAATTAATAATTTAGATAATATTTTAGGCCTAAAAAAAGGACCTGCAATGGTCAGATTTAGCTCTTGCATATGGTGTAGTGGTGATATATTCGAACAGATTTTTAAATCGGATAAAAATTGTGACCTCTAGGGGGATCATAGGCTAAAACCTCGATTTTTCGTACAATCAGGGACAATAATCCAGGCAGTTACCATCAGATAAGCGTGAATATCGAAATGGACCAAGATCTTTGAGTTATAGATTTCAAGTTTCATCAAAATCGGATAAAAATTGTGAACTCTAGAGTAGGAGAAAAAATTTTCGATGGACAGGAGCGATAACAATATATTATGTTGGCGTATAAAAATTAGATACAACCTTTTTTATACATGATAAATAATATCGAAGCCTATAACTACCATTCATAATTTCTACTTTTCGCCTCTTCAAAACACGAAAGTCGAAAAGTCGAAAAGTAGAAGTTACGACAAAATGTGAGGCGACAACACGCTATACAAGCCAAAATCAACTCGAAAATAGGAAATTAAGAAATAACACACAGCGATAATAGCGCCCCTCGTTTTTTCCTAATTTCTTATTTTCGACTTGCATTTTGGCTCGTATACCGTCTTGTCGTATTTTTGTATTTATTGATGTCAGTACTGATTATAAAATGTAATGTTTAATGAGTCTTAAATATTGGAGATTAGAATCCCATATTTTTACTGTAAGATATAAACATTATAATTGATTGAAAGAGACCAATATTGAATTATAATTCGTGTTTTCAATTTAAAATATTGTGAAAAATATTGAGTTACAGGTTTCATTTGCTCATTTAATCCTATAATAACCTAATTGTCATAATACTTTCGCTTTGCTTTTCATTTCTCGCTTGTATATATTTAGGAAATGACGATACTTATCAAATCTCCAGCTATTTTAGGCGACCTTCGAGTCAAGGGGATCACGTGGCTAAGTGGGTAAGACGCTAGATCGCTAGCCTGGAGGTCGGGTGTTCGATCCCTGCATTGGCCGAGAAAGTTCATCCAGATTTTCCGGCGTGGTTCTCCCTTGTCAGTGATGCAGGACGGAGGGGCTGACAAGGAAAGCTGTCTAGTTGTTCGGATGAGACGAAAAACCGAGGTCCCGTGTACACATTGGCGTGCACGTAAAAGATCCCTTGGCAGTTGGAATTCGATATAAGAGTAGGCCGTAGTGCCGCTGTCCGGGCAAAATTTCCCTCATAGCACACTGTATGGCGTATGCCCGTCTTCATTAGCCCAGGTTAGGAGCAGAACAGTAGGACGTTAAACCCCATTTCATTTCATTTCATTTCATTTCCTTCGAGTCAATAGTGGTAAGCATGTTTCTGATTGGTCATCATTATCTAAGTTGTTATTGTTGTTAAGATATCCATAAATTGTTGGATAGAGACTAGAAAATTCTAATCTAAATGCCATTCAATAATAAACATTGAATAGACTTGTGTACTGTGTTTGATCAACATACCCTTGGTTATTTCAGTTCAGCTCTGAACGTCAACGCTGGTTTCATTACACTTGCCGCGAAACACTGTAACGATTTGTAGTTTTGGCAGGATCTGTGCATTGATCGTACTCACCGTACTGGCCACTAGAGTCTTAGCCTCGCTTCTCCATTTTAAAATTAAATCATTAAACAGTGTCGATGAAGGGATCTGTCCTAGTGGGTATTTGGACTACTTGACCGGCGAGGGTATTTACTCGCGAGGGGTGGGGGGGGGGGGCTATTTGATGGCGTTACCGGAGGGTGGTGGGGTTCGTGGACTCAGGTGGAGGTATTTCTCTATAACTTATAAGGGTATTTGAAAGTAAGGAATTAAGTGCTATGCATTAAACTAAGAACATTGAATAAAGAGCTGTTTGTCTTCCATAGTTTAAAAGCAGGGTTATTGTGTTCCAAAGTCCCGCGCAATCATACGGATTATCGCTATACTAGTTGATAATTTTCCATCGAATTTAGTCATGGCGTTGATGTAATAAATCTATACACCAAAGTTTACCAGTCTCAATCAATTAGAATCATCGTGTGCCAAAGCATCGATCAATGAAATTGCTTATCTCGGTCTCGCCCAAGCAGGGAATGTTAATCATCGAACTATTCAAAGTATTCATATAACGAACGCCAACAGGGGATCACGGTGGCTAAATGGGTAAGGCGCTGGCTCGCTAGCCTGGAGGTCGGGTGTTCGATACCTGCATTGGCCGAGAAAGTCCTTCCAGATTTTCCGGCGTGGTTTCCCCTTGTCAGTGATGCAGGACGGAGGGCCTGACAAGGACAGCAGTCTAGTCATTCGGATGAGACGAAAAACCGAGGTCCCGTGTACACATTGGCGTGCACGTAAAAGATCCCTTGACAGTTGTCCCTTGACAGTTGGAATTCGATATAAGAGTAGGCCGTAGTGCCGCTGTCCGGGCAAAATTTCCCTCATAGCACACTGTATGGCGTATGCCCGTCTTCATTAGCCCAGTTCGGAGCAAAACAGTAGGACGTTAAATCCCATTTCATTTCATTTCATGAACGCCAACAGCAAGTATCAAATGGGACAATTTAATTGGTTGAATCCCGCAGCATTAAGTCTAATACGACCAAGCAGGCGTTGGAGAAAAACTGGTTATTTCAGTTCACACCGTTCACGATATTATATTATTAACCGATGAAAGCCGCGGTGACGCTCCCTTACTAACCCTGAGGTCCCGGGTTTGTTCCCAGTGTTGCCTGAGAATGTTCATCGTTGTTTCCCCCTGTCAGTGGTACTAGACCTGGGCCCGGTTCCTAGAAAATTCTTAAAGTAAGCACATTATAATAATAATAATAATAATATCTTTATTTCGAAAGGGTGAACAAACTAGGTCCGATATGTATGGACCTTTCTGATGATTTACTCATGCTTCATTTTTTCTTACGTAAAAAATTTATAAAAATACCGTCCCTGGAAAATTCTCAAGATCAATCTTACGTAAGCACAAGTCAAGTATAAGTCTAAGCACATTGTGACTGTAATTGGTAAAGTTTACCATAAACTGAGACCTCTATGACTGAGACTAATATGCTCTTTAACGTCATAAAAACAACTTTGGTATGCGAATTACGTCATAAATTTGTCGTCTTTTTCATTGACGTCATATATATATTATATGGTTGATTTAGATTCATTTGACATGTCCCCTATAGGCCTACACATATAAAATGTGCCACAAGATAAAAAAATGCAGACACATACAAACTAACTGAATAATTGTGAGAGTGCCTGATCTTAAAGTAGCCTGTGTGTTTGTAGCCTATTGTTTACTAATTGGCAAATAAATGAAATGGTTTAAGGGTATAGGCCTAAAAGAAAAGCGAAATTTTCTATAGCATTCTTAATTTGAAATTTCTTCTGGAGAAGGATTTTCTCTGTCTTATAAATTGTCTCTTTGGTATCAAAAGGTGTCGGAAATGCCGTCGAATAACTCTACGGTCAGCCATCTTTTTGAAGCAGAAACAGACTTAAGGTTGGTAATTCTATATAAGCAAGTCGTAGGCCTTGCTTGGTACTTGTGCTTAGATTGACAAGAACGTTCTTAAGAATTTTCTGGGAACACAAAATAGGGTAAGTTTACTTAAATGCAAAGTCTACTTAAATCTAAGCACAAGAACGTGCTTAAGAATTTTCTAGGAATCGGGCCCTGGCAAGGAACATTCGTTTGGATAGGACGTGTGTTGGCGGGCACATAATAGAATCACTCATGGACAGTTACAATTCGATGAGGAGTAGGCGGAATTACCCCCATGGCACACTGCATGGCGTATGCAAACCTTCTTTAGGCGGCGTCGTTCAGAAAACCTCATTTCATTTCTATTAACTGGTGGGGCCATAATATGGTGTCTAGGAGAGTAAGGCGCGGAGTCACTAACCAATGCAGTCCCGGGTTAGATCCGCGTATGTTCGCCGAGAAACTTGATCAAGATTTTTCAGCGTTGTTCCCCCTTGTCAGTGCCACTGAACGGAGCGTTGAGCAGCGTCTAGTCGTTCGGATGGGACAAAAATGACTCCAAGGTCCTTTGTAAATTACGTTCGCTAGTACATATATACATAAGAAACCTTGGCAGTTGGAATTCGATGGATCGAGTAGACGGAAACACAGCTGCCGGGGCAAAATGTTCCTAACAGTACACTAATAGCCTACACTTCACGACGTATGCCAGTCTTCATTAGCCCAGGTGGTGCAGAAATTCCCGTTAAATCCCACTTCGTTTCATTTCATTTCCATTAGCCAGTTGCTTGTGGACAAAAACATACAGATTACATTACCTGATGCAATTTAATTATCAAAATGCGTAATTTCAAAATAACGTACAATAACGTAATCAAGTTATCATCTTAAAAAAAACATAGTAACTATATTCGGTTTTATTCTTCCACGATTTCAACTGTTTCACCAAATTTTAACTAAGATAAAATCCAAATTTAAGTAATTTGATTGGATAATATTAGACTGATTTTAATGCTTAACCAATCAAAATTGAAGTATCTACTAAAATTTGGATTTTACCTTAAGTTAAAATTTCGTGAAACAGGCCCCAGGTCTTTTACATTGTTTGACATTAACCAACTGCTATTAAGTAGACTACTTTTATTTTAGCTGAGTGCCGAGACATACAAATATTATTGATTCAATTTGGCTCGTCTTCATAATACAACATATTACAACATAATAGACACTATTCAGATTTTGAATATATACAGCCAGTCGGGGGCAAGGGGGGGGGGCACTCCCCCAAAATGGTCAGGGATCATCATGTGGAGTATTTACGTTATTAAACATTACAATTTACATATATTATTGGTTATGCTCTGACATCTATCTTCCAAATAGATGTACTGACTATCGTGTTGTCTTGTAGCTTTGTTCACCCGTCCAGAGATGAACTAACCCTGGTCTGATCCCTAATGTATTGCACACGATGGATTATACGAGTTATTTCCCTTCCTCTACCGGCCATGGGCATCGAGCTGTTAACCCGGGTGAAAATAACGGACGTCTGATTACGTGCGCACCACATTTTGATGTTTTCATTATTGGAAATGTTGTTAGTGCATTGTTAAAGATGCGAATGACATTCATTTTGAGCTTGATATATGATAATATGTATGTAGAGGTTTAATCATGCACGTAAGTCCAACTATGAATTGTTTTGGAGCTTTGGTAATCTCCGTACAATATCATTCATTGAATTTGATAAATTTCTTAGACCGGCCCCGCCCACTTGTGACTTAAACAAACGTTGAAATCACAATGAAAAAGACACTCTGGATTCTACTTTCTACATTCTTGTCAACATCCAACCTTGGTAATCCCGAATGGTATAATGAAAATGTATAAATCTGTGAGGTTAGACAGTCAATCTTTAATCACTGATTTAAAGATAGAGGAAGTAGAACTTTATGAACTAAATGAGCAAAGGTATCTTTCACATTTCAGGGAGCTATTTAAAGGAATTAGGTAGAAGCTCTGTTGACTGTAGCCCCCCCCCCCCCCCTCCCGCAATCTGGGCCTAAAATTTTAAAAAGTCAGATTTATTAAAATATTTATCATGTCCAAATGCCAGCTTAAATTATCCACTTCAGGTAATATCATTTGGCTTAATTAGAAAAATTGCAAATTTAAAGTAGCCTACCCTGGTTAAATGTCTTTGATTCAGGTCAAGATTATTAAATAATATTTCATTTTTAAAAAAAGCTGAAATATCAGGTTGTGAAGTATAATTTTAGTTATATTTGGGGCACCCTGGATATCTTTTGAGAAATTTGTGCTTAATGCCACAGATCAGAAGAATTCGAATTTTAGGTTTTTTCAGTTTAAACCAAGTATTTTTTTCAAAACTTTAACCATTCTTTGATGAAAAAAATGACAAAACAGCTTTAATTATTTCAAACAATAAGCCTAAAGACACAACAAACAAGCCAGATATAGTTCATGTGTGTATCCAAAAGTCAAAAATATGTAGGCTGATATGTATCTTAATGTAAGGAATGTTGTTAATGTATCAGGGGGTTGAATGGCCAAATGGTTAGCATGTGCGCTCTGTATCATAAGGTCTGTCATTGAGTCAACTGGCATGGTTTGATTGGTTTCGAATCCCTGGTTGTACGTGACAAGGAGTAGGGTAGCCTGTCCAACCTCATGGGCCTTCTCCATGTCCCCCGGTTTCCTCCCGCTGCTAAAGACCCCTAAACGCAAGCGAATTATTGAAATAATATTGAACCATGTGTTAGTCCCGAAATGACCTAGCTTGTGTCCAGTGGACATTAAACTCTCTCTCTCTCTCTCTCTCTCTCTCTCTCTGTTAATGTATCATTGTATTAATTAGGATTATTATGATATTTCAGTAGAAACAGATCCTAGAATTAATCTGTCTTTAATACTGAAAGATGGCATCAGAAAATGAGGTTATAACACCAGAAACAATTGTTATTGGAGAAAATGGTTCTAGTGGAAATACTCTTCGAAAGCGTAAAACATTAGGTATCTATGGGTCTAATGTCGACCCCCCAAAAGATGATGACGTATTTTACGTAACAGATGATCACACGTATGGAGCATTTGCTCAGGTAAATCTTTTTCCTGTAGAACTTGAATTTATTTTAGATAACTGGTGACCTTGTACACATATTTCTCAGTCCTAATTTTTCTTGTACCCCCTTTTAATGTGGAGACTGGCCACTGTTGTTCTAGTGGTCTGTCGTTATAAAGAAATCCTTGTGAGCACTCTATGGATCAGTGTTTTTGACAGGCTTTTTTCAAATTTCCAGGGATTGTTCATTTGGTCATAAGGCAGAACCCATTAAATATGAAAAAAATATGAATCCCATCACTGAATCAGATATTTACTAAATTGCAATTCACAAAGTCATCTTATGAAAGATTGTAAATATGATACAGGATATACCGGTAAATTACCGTTAAGTTAGATTCCAAAAGCAATTTACACAGTAATCTTTCTGTTTGTGAATGTGATACAGGAAAAATTCAATTGTATGTTTACAAATTGTGAATTTATCCCCAAATTTACATTCATATAAAATCTTGTGTGAAACATTTTTTAAAACTTTTCATTCAGATTTTTACTAAGTTATAAAACTTGAGGCAAAGCTCAAAAACTTTGCTGGTGGTGGGCTAAGACACCTGAAAAGCCCTGTCTATGCTTAATTTACATGTATTATCTGTATAGGAATTTTAAATGAAAGATATGGGTATATTCTCATGGTACGTACAAATAATAGAAAAGCTCTATTATAAGCATCAAATGCTGTCTATTATAAGCATCAAATGCTTTATTTTTCTTTACTTCTAACTTAAGATTAAAAAGCTTGGCTGGTACTTTATATAGTATTTTATTATTTTGCAATACAAGTCGAATTAAAGATTATCTTACATGTAGTTTGGGATTAATTATAAATACATGTAGATCTTTACTGTAATTTGACACACATGTAAAAGTAGACGGGGGGAACACAGAAAAAATGCTAACCACAACCCTTATTTCCTTGTTCCTTATAGATTTATGGTAACTAATAATTTAATGGCTTCATTGGTTCAGTGGTTGATCCATTTGTTTGTAGATTATTTGAAGAAATTGGATTGTGTGAAAATGGCAAATATGATCGTTTTCCATGTGGGGAATATGGATGAATTATGTTTTAAATATGAATGAATTATGTTTTAAATATGAATTTTAAATATGCATAAATTATAAGAAGTCTTCCTCCTCCTGTTTAAACATATTGTAAGATATGATTTAAATTTCAGGGAAGAGATTATGAACCAATATATATAACACATAAGTATACCGCTAAAGAGAAAGAAACTCTTGCAACCTTTGAAAGTTTGGATTATTTACCTTCAAACAGTGAAGTTTATAAGCAATGGCTAAAGAGAAAAAGGGTGTCCAGGTAAGATCTAATTTTTTGGGAGAAAACTACCTACTGTACTGTTTGCCTTGTATTTATTTAAAGATGCATTATGTAAGATTTCGATAAAGAGCTGACAGTTCTTCTTAAAAAAGTTAAAAAATAGTCTTAATTACTTCATTCTGAGTGAAGTTATGGCCATTTAAAGAATAGTGTAGTCTCGATAATCATTACTACTGATAATAAACAAAGTCTTGATTATCCATTTTTATACGCCCACATTGAAATGTGGTTGTATATTGTCGTCGCCCCGTCCGTCGGCAATTGTGGACGCTCTAGAGGCTAAAGTTTATATTCGATTGACTTTAAATTTATACACAGTATTTAAGGTCATGAGACAAAGACACCTGTATAGTTTCAAGGATTTACGATAATTACTGCCAGATTTATGGCCCTTGATTACTTCGAAAAATCTTGCGGATGCTCTACAGGCCAAAGTGATCATTCGATTGACTTTAGATCGCTACACAATGTTTAAAGTCTTGAGACAAACAAGTATATTGATTTTCAATGATTTTTGATAACTTGAACAGAAATGTTTTATATACTAAACATTAGCATGGGATAGAACTAGATGCCAGGCAACCAATCTTTTGATTAGATTATTTACTGGCGGTTGTGTTTAAACCTGTTGGAAATAGCAACCATCCAATGATCTACAGAGTTGATTAAGGAAAAGCAAATATAGAGTTTAAGACCATTTTTAAAGATGGAAAAGTACTCCCACCCCCAAATTATTCAGTAAATTTGAAGTTTACATTAATTTCTATTGATTTGATGATACCATATTAATGTGACTGCATCCCAACCTCTGTTTTTTTGTTTTAAACTTTTCAATATATTATTAAGGAAATGCATTAACTTAAAGCCCTTGATTTTATTGAATTTCAGATTACAAATGGATCGTTGGTTTATGATGGGTTTGATTGGATTTTGTGTTGGATTAGTTGGCTTTCTCTTACATCAACTTATTGAGATAATTTCCGATGTAAAATGGGAGACAACCTCAGATTTGTTGGCTGTAAGTATTTGTTGGATGAAACAGTTTTTTGAAAGAATTGAACTTCTGAAGCATACTCAACTTTGCAAATATGTTCTAGCAAAATACATAATTGTACTATTTTGATCTATACCTTCATTATTTTGCACAACATAGAGAGCTGTGGTTGCTCAGTGATGTGATGCTTGCTCGCTAACCAGAAGGTCTCAGGTTTCCTTCCAATGTTAGCTGAGAAAGTTACTCAGGATTTTCCGGCATGGTTTCCCCATGTCAATGGTGCAGGACCGGGTAAAATTTGGTATGTACTTGTAAAACAACCCCTGACTATTGTAATTTGAAATAAGATTAGGTTGTTATGCCAATGTCCAGGCGAAACTTCCCTCTTAGAACATAGCATCCTGCATACCCATCTTCATTAGCCCATTCGGTGCAGAAAATTGTGACGTTAACCCCATTTCATTTTTGCACACCATATTTTATTTTCAATAACAATAGGATACTATTAATAAACAAAGAAACAATTATTAAGTGCTTATTATATAGCTATGATGTATCATAAGATATGAAAAGAGATTAGCATAGTCATTTGCTTTTCTTTCTTCTTTCTGTTATATTTATTATATGGTTCTTGTAAACTCTTTTGCAGGATAATAAACAAGGTCTAGCATGGTTATTTGCTGTAGGTTTCAGTGTTGTATTTATTGTTAGTAGTGCCGCCATTGTTGTGGTAAGTGATCCAGAATTTATATAAATAGTATAATAATAATTAATAAATAATAATAATGCACTCTTGAAGGGTGCCATATCCATCAATTAGTTCTCTCATGAGTTTAAATTTAAATGAGATTTGTCAATTATACTTTGATATTCAATTCACTCTCCTTTGATATTTAAATGTTTGCCTGCTGCAATTTCTGAAACTGTAAAGTGGGTGTGGCATCCGCTCTTTGTAAAAGCTTTATATTGGTAATCAACCACATATAACTTTATGGTTAGGCCACAATGTTCATGCTCTCTTTTACTTCTCAGTTAAATAGTAAACCATAATTCATTCCAAGTATTCCTGAAAGTAACTAATGTTTTTATTCTGTGATCTTAATTTATAGTTTTGGAGACCAAGTGCTGCAGGATCTGGTATCCCTGAAGTAACAGGATTTTTAAATGGCACAAATGTACGTCATATATTCAGTCTACAGACAATGTTTGTAAAGTTTTTATCATGTGTTATGGCGATTGGTTGTGGTATGCCTGTAGGACCAGAGGGACCGATGATACATTTAGGGTGAGCAGTAACTTCATGTATCTGTTTTACCCATACCCCCATGTTTTATTTTAGTGTTTTACTTGCACCAGGTAACTTTTAAAGACCAATGATATTTCTGAGCTTTGTTCATGGACAATCTGCAATCAATTTTGATCATAATTATTCTATTAAATTTTGTCTAATGTCAAAAAGTTAAATTTATACTCTTATAATTCCATTTTTCAGAGGCTTGGTAGGTGCAGGTTTAAGTCAGACAAAATCTGAAACCCTCAGAATAAAAATTCCCATGTTTGAAAGATTTAGAAATTCTGAAGACCGGTAAGTATAACCCTTACATTATTTAAATAAAACAATCTATATTCTATTACACTAGAAATCATTATAATGTATTACAATAAAGGGTGGGCGTCAGCATTTATTACAGCTTATATAATAAATTAGAGCCTTGGTTTAAATTGGGGGTAAAGCCTTATTGTTTTTTGTTTTTTTTTCAGACGTAATTTTATATCCGCTGGAGCAGCAGCCGGTGTGGCATCTGCTTTTGGAGCACCAGTGGGTGGTTTGTTATTTTCTATGGAGGAAGTGTCTTCATATTGGACAATAACTTTATCATGGCAGATCTTCTTCTGCTGTATGATATCAGCCTTCACTACTGACCTCTTTAACTCAGCATTTAGAGGTTTCAAGTACAGTGGTGATTTTGGACAATTTAAAACAGAAAGATATATTTTATTTAATGTAAGTTGTAAAATAATTTTAAAAATTGAAGACAAAAAGTATATAAGTAGTAGTAGTAGTAGTAGTAGTAGTAGTTTTAACTTCATTTGTCCATGCCGAGATTAATGAACAATAAATTACACAGTTAATAGATGAATTTCATTAGCTTTGTGTTGGCTGAAAATGCTAAAGGACAACTTATATTATCATCTGATGAGCTGACGACCAGTAATATGAATGACTATTAACTTTCATAATTGACTATATATCTTGCCAGTTAATTGATTATTAAAGATGGGTTCCCGCATACAAACTGGGTGATTTAATGGTATATATGGACCAAAAACATATTCAAACTAATTAATTTGTCATAATTATGCTTCAAATCCTTCTCAAACATTGTAATTGCAAAGGAATGCCATGCTATTAAAATTCGATCAAACCAGGTCATGTTTACGTCACGTCTTGGGAGTCAGAGGAGAATTCATTGCATACATAAGACGATGTTGTCTTTAATCGCTTACTATTTATTACAAATATCGAATCCTAATTAAATTCTCGGATTATCTACTACCCGCGTCTTTTTCTGTCATTTTTACCTCAGAAAGTATTGTATGTTTAACTCTTCATAAATTTTATCTACTTGTACATCAAGCGCTCAATGTTCGCTTGTGACCTTTGACATCACGCGTGCAGAAGTTCTTAATCGTCGGGCTGTTGATGAGGGGAAACCTTACATTTTTGTCCTGTATAAGCTCCATGAGTTTTTTTCTGGGAATCCAGTATTTTTCTAGTAAGATTGGATATCTCTACTTTCCATATATACCAAAATTGTCAGACTTTTATTGGAAATAACCACCCGATAAATACTTTTCTGGGAATCCATCTTAAATCTTGCTATTTGATTGACTATTAATCTTGCTAGTTAATTGACTAATAATCTTGCTAGATAATTGATTATTAATCTTGCTAGTTAATTGACTATAATGTTCACAAGTTGACTGCCTACATCTTTCAAAAGTTAACTGACTATAACACTCACTAGTAAACTGACTGTGACCATCATGAGTAAACTAGTAAACGTGGCCATAGTGCTCACTAGTTAATTGACTATAACTCTCACTAGTTAACAGAATATTACTTTCACTACCGGTAGTTAATGAATTATTATGTCACTAGTAAACTTATTGTCTAATCAGAGATTTGTGAAAGCTATGTAACAATTTAAGTCTTGTTTTATTTTCCAGATTAATAAAGGTGTAGATGTGAATATATTGATGTTTATACCAACTGTTATTATTGGTATATTAGGAGGAACGCTTGGTGCTTTATTTACTATTATCAATCTTAAAATAACCAGAGGTAGGAAAAAACTTCTGGCTAGAATCAAAAGAAACTGGATCCAGAAGTCAGTCAGGTTATTTGAACCAGCAGTAATCATGGTGAGATTAGATTAATTTTTAAGTGCCATGAAAATGTGATTTTAGTAGCTACTAATTTACTTTGACATTTGGATTAAGCTTTGATGTCCATTGTCATGGTTTTGTGTTGTTTTATTTCAGTTTCCAGCATTTTCTATTAATAGATGTCTAGATGGTCTGCTTTGTTTGCCTTGGTAGTTTGACAGAATCCATGTTTCTCAAAAAATGTATTTTCCAATCAGCCTATAAATAGTAGCATTGTTAAATTTACAATTTCATATTTTCTAAGAAAGTCAAAACATAGATATTTCTATGTCTTTTGCTCAATAGGTTGTCAACTCACTTTATATGATAATAGGTTATCTTTCTCACACTTAAAAATCTTCACACCGGAAATAATAACACAATTATCTCCCAATTACCTCCCTTGTTTTCCTATTCCCCACCATGGAATAGCTATCTTCAAACGTTTGAATTTGAAGTTGAAAATGATACTTTTGCCAATTTCTCAACTGGCAATAGTGAATAATAGGATTAAAAGGATTATTCTTTAACAAGGTAGGACTGTTTATAGATACCATCTATTTTAGGGCTTTATTTTAATACATTTTAAAAATATAATTTAAAAATATGAAACTGTAACTTTAAACTATATAGATTTTAACACCATAATCTATTGTTTAGTGTATAGAATATGATTTATATTTAGAAAACTTGGTATTGATATTTGCAGGTCATAGTGAGTACCGTTTCTTTATTTCTACCAGCTGCCTTTCCCTGTTCTCCTTATAGATGTATTGAAGGTGATGATAGGAAAGTTGTGTATGTATTTTTGCGCATAATATTTTCATTTGGTGGTTAGCCTTGCATAAAGATTTATCTCGATAAAGAAAAGAACCCCATTGATTGTCAATGACTCCTGAAAATAAAATCCAGTTATGCTTTTGCTTTTGTTGTGCTCAAACCCAGAAATAGATGGAGATTTTGCTTGATTTGTCAAATAATTCTCACAAACTGTTTACCGACAAACAAGTTTACACGTAAAGAAAAAAATTCAAATCCACTCTAATTCTTTTAAGATTGATGCTACATAAGATTATTTTATTTATCTAAAAATATTTGATTTGTTTTTCGATTTTTATACAAATATTTTCATGTGGATGTATATTGTTGTCGCCCCCGTTCGTCCGTCCGTCCTTCCGTCCACAATTTGTTTGTGGACACTCTAAAATATAGGTCTATCTTCCAAAGAACTCAGTTCCTTTCGATATTGGCAAATATCGGACCATAACTTCATGGATTATGGCCCCTGATTGTACGAAAAATCACGTTTTTAGCTTGTGGACACGCAAGAGGTCACAATTTTCATCTGATTTTTATGAAATTTGAAATGCATGTTTATAACCCAAAGATCTTGGTTCCTTTCAATATTTGCGCATATCACATTGTAACTTCCTGAATTATGGCCTCAGATTGTACGAAAAATCACGTTTTTAGCTTGTGGTCCCTCTAGAGGTCACAATTATTATCTGATTTAAAAAAACGTTTGAAGATATCACCATTACACTGTGATGAGACTTGAGTTCAAATTTTGTGAAAATCGGACCAAAAGTGCCGGACAAAATGGCCGCCCCTCGTACGCAAATAGTGTAAATATATGGTATATCAAGGTTGTGAACCCTCTAGAGGCCACAATTTTGATCTGATTTTGATGAAATTTGAAATGCATGTTTATAACCCAACAATCTTGATTCCTGTCAAAATTCGCACATTTCAGATCGTAACTTCCTGAATTATGGCCCTTGATTGTACGAAAAATCGCTTTTTGTTCAACTTGTTCTCTATCCATCTCTTGCAAAATGTGGGCGTATCCTGCCTGGCAGTCGCTGGTTCTTTTATAGATTTGTATTTCCTATTTCTTCTGTGTTATATTTTCAGTGAAAATTGTGTTAATAGTACAACAAGTTCGTTTCAAGTTGAAAGTGATGTAATGCAGTATACATGTCCAAAAGGTTTTGATTGGAATAATAATGGTACATCGTATCACACTAATAGAACGTATAATGAATGTTAGTATTATGTTAAAAGTATTTATCTTTAATAATAAAACAACTATAGACCAGGAACCGAGCATGACATCTTTAATAATAAAACACCTATAGACCAGGAACCGAGCATGACATCTTTAATAATAAAACACCTATAGACCAGGAACCGAGCATGACATCATAGTATCCATCTGAAAATTGTGAAGCCATCAAAAATTGAAGTCTGTTAGTTGATGCACGTTTGTCAAAGGCACAAACAAGTTTCATGTTGTCTACAAGAAGAAGAAAACTAAAAGAACAACAGGATATGTATCGCTTGGGCCCCAGTTCCTGGTCCAAAAGTAAACATTATGATTTGCTGGCATGGTAAAGAAAATGGGTGGTTTGACAAACGATGAAAAATGTATGACTGAAAATCTCAAACTTTTTGTAGTGGCATCTTTATTATATGGTACAACAGAAACTGCAGTACGTCACCTTTTCTCTCGAACAACTCATCTACAGTTTGGTTATGCTACATTGTTTACAGCACTGCCTTATTTTTTCATTATGGTGTGTTGGTCATCAGGAACATCTGTTTCTAGTGGTATACTTGTACCTATGTTGTAAGTTTTATTTGTTAACTCAATATTAAACAGAATGGTTGTTAGTTGTCTTGTTATTATACAGCACTTTCACCTGTGACAGGTAACATTGAAATTTGGGATCCTGTTATACTTATGGAAAGGATATATTGACATAATTACTTGCATTATTTAAAAAAAAATTATGAAGCTTTTCTGGTGATCCTTAATACACCCAGAGAATGTTATGATATAAAAGTATTAATACATCTAGGAAATGTTATGATATAAAAGTAATTATGTAATTATTATGTTTTGATTTAAGATTAATTGGTAGTTTATATGGTCGTATTATTGGATTAGTGATGGTATCTTTATTTGGTGTACAGACAGATAAAGATAGTTACTGGGTGTGGATGGATCCTGGAGCTTTTGCTCTGATAGGTGCTGCCTCTTTCTTTGGGGGTGTCTCTAGATTAACCTTAGCTGTTACAGTTATAATGGTATGTTTTTTGATATTTTCTTTAAAATAATCACAACAGTTCTATGGAAAACAATTACTGCATTTTTAATTGGAGCATTTCTACAATCAGTTGGAGATGAGGTTTACAAAACATTGCTCAAAACAAGGACTTCAATGTAAATTGGATTACAAATGTTACAAATGAAAAACACAACCCATTCTGCTCATATGTTTACAGGGGTGAACATTATTTTGGCTTGATTTATTTTAGAATAACTATAATTTGCCATAAAACTGCAGATTTTACAAACCCAGACTAACAAATTTTTAAAATAACGCACACCCCTCTGCAGAATTCTGTGGCTGAATTAATTCACAATTTGATTTTTTCTATCTTTAAGATGGAACTAACAAATGATGTACAAGTGTTATTACCAGTAATGGTAGCTGTAATGGTAGGAAAATGGAGTGGTGATTTTTTTACCCATCCTATATTTCATGCTCATTTAGAATTGAAGTGTATACCATTCCTAGATCCTGAACCTAGACTAGTAGCAGAAGGGAAGAGGTAAACAAAACTCTTATAACTTAGTCGATAGGTAAAAAGAAGTTGCTGAGCCTCATGTAAAAGTCTCTTAACCATGTTGAACCCTGGTACATGTAATATTGACAACCCTCGCTGTTGATCTTTGTTACATTGAGTTTTGTAGCTCATTTTTGAATCCAGCTGAAACTACTGCTCCTTAGCCAGACCACCTCAAGTCGCTGCTCCCTAGACAGTGTCAAACCGGCCAAAACTATGGCTTCCTAGACACCCTCAAACTGCTCAAAACTGCTAGTTCCTAGAGAGCCTCAAACCGCCCAAGTCACAGATCTGGTAGGCTATATTGTCTTTATAAAGTCCCCAAAGGTTTGAGGCACTGAAGGGGGCAGTATTAGGTGGTTTCACACTGTCAAGTTGCTTGTGATGATGTAATAAGTCATAAATCTACTCTTGTGCCTTTATTGATAAAACATTACCAGGTTTGTGAATTTTTTATAAGCTGAGATTAATTTCTTTTTAATTTAGTTTTTAAATTATGGGATTGAGTAACCTCATGGTTCCATCCTGTGGTGGATCCAAATAGTAGGCTTGCCTGCCCAACTGTTAGGCTTCTCTCCAGTTTTCTTTTACTGTTGAAAATCCGACACTGAAGCCAATTATCATGTTTTTTTGTCTTTAAAAGTGTACAGTTTGAATTATATCAGACTCAAGATGTGATGACATCACCAGTCAGAACTATAAATATTTGTGAACCTATATCGGTACTGTCTGATCTTCTTCTACACTCGAGTAATGGTGGATTCCCTGTTGTTAAATATAATTCTCATGGTGAACCTGTGTTTTATGGTATGATCACAAGGTAAATATAACAAGTTTGTTCCTTTATTATATTAATTTATTTCACAATTCAATACATCAAGTCAAATGACTGTGGTCATACTGTCATGCCATTTCATAAAGCACTCTTGAAACTTTGGTACATGTAAATCATATACTTTACTTTACAACTCTATTGAACTTTACCCACTCTAACTTCATACCTACAAGAAAATGCAGGTTCAAAGATGTTCTTTTTCAATCACAAACTTACCCTAACTACTGTCATCATTTGAATACCCTCCCCCAACAATTTAGGTGATAATGGTAGGTGTATGTTGTGTTAGCGGGCAATGCTTGTTTCTAATGTTGACTGTTGCTTATTTTATCTTCAGACTAGAATTAACAGTTTTACTTATGCATGAAAAGGTATTCATTGAAACAGAGGAGGAGATTGATGAAAGAGAAGCTGATGTCACTTTAGTAGGATATGAAAAGGTAAAATAGCTACAGGTTAAAGAAACGGTGCATGATTTGCATTTTTTGGAAAATGTTGAATTTCTCATGGCTTAATCCATGCTAATGTGTACTCAGATTCATTATTTAACATTTAATTATGACAACAAAATCAAAACAGCACTAGATAATCTCCTTCTTGGTTAGCTAGATTAAAAACAGGCCCATCAATTATATTTTGCAAAACAAAGACAGTAAGTTGCTTCACATAGGGAGCAGCATACATCAATGAATTTTCAGTTCATCATTTACTGTAAATCTGGAATTGAACCATTTTTGGACTAATATTCCAGGTAGAGGTTCAATTATTACAGCATTGTAGTTTGTAAGGTATTCTTATATAACACAAATCATGCTCAGCGTCTTTAATTATTTAAGAAAAAGGTAACTTTAATATCATTAATATCATATACATCAGTTTACTATTAATTTTCATTACATTCATTTACATCAAAATATTATGTGTGATTAGAAATGATAATTAAAAAAATAACCTACATCTTTATGGCTACAGTTAAACCGAATGTCTAAATTTTTAGAAAACAGTGTGAGGGACTACAACAGTTCCTACATCTCATTTTCTTAGTAATAAGTATGGTGGCTGTTAAAGCTGTATTCATAAAGAAAACAGACCCCACTTTCTCTTTCGGGTCATTATCTGATTGATTACTTTGAACTACCAGGGATATTGTCAGCAATAATAATAATGTTATTGCGTAAGTCAAGATTCACTGAAATACAAGCTTTTTGGATTACCTTTTACATTAATCATAAAATAATGTCTTTAGCCTCCATTCAGAGGCGTAGCCGTGAGATGAAATTATATAAAATGTTGACAATCTGTGATGCCGGAGGCACGAGGCTGCGCAGCAGCCACGGTAGCATGATATGATAAGGAGAGTGTGGGAGGGTCACCCTTCCACTGGGAGAGGGGGGGGGGGCACCACCATAAAAATTCTTTAAAGTTTCAGTCTTCTGTAAACACTGTTTTGGCATATTTTACGGGGTTAAACTTAAACATCACACCAATACAATGTTTATCATGTTTAAATCAGGGGGTGCCGAATGCATATTGGGATATGTACATTGTTTTATACAGATAGAATCTTAATCCTAATAATTGTTGTAAATAAATAGGAGGGGGGTCCAAGTATATTCAGACCCCCCCCCCCCCCCCCCATGTGTGACGCCCATGCCTCCATTACTTATTTAAACATACATTATGCAAAAGCTAAATCTGTCTATTGCGGGTCTTTCTTTAGGCCTGAAATGTTATCTAAATTATTAATTAGACATTAATTAACTTATCCAGGCCATAATCAACTCTTGATGGCATCGCTAGCCTGCAATCTACAATCTATAGTGGATTATGAGCTGATTTACTGCATAACTTTCCTTCACGTTTTAATGAATAAATGGATAATCGAGACTATGCTGTTTATCTTACTGACTTTGATAATGATGATCGAGGCTAGGCAGAAATTTCAATCGCTTAATTCTCGGTTCATAGTGGATCAATTTGAATGAAATTTTTAGCAAATTGCCTTTACATTATCTAGTTTTTAACTATTATAGTGAGAACACCCGACTTGTTATCTAATCTCCCATAATGTATCTTTAAGTAAATTGAAATCTAAAATAGAAATTATGAATTCAAATAAAACTATGTGTTTAACTATATAAATACAAACTGGTATATGATGTTTATATCATGATAGAATGCATGTCTCATAAATGGATGATCACAGGATATGATTTTAAAGATTTATGTTCTTTACTTGCAGTTAATGGTCGATAAACTGGTAAATCCACAAGAAGTTTCCCATTTACTCAATCAATATATAGATGAAGATAAATACAAAAACCTTAAAATTAATCTTGTAAGTAATTTTGTGAATTAATATGAATTTTCCCTTCAAGTCAGATAAATGGGGTTTAACGTCCACTCAACACAAACAAGGTCCTTTTGGGACTAACACAGGATAAATTTTATTTACATAATTCACTTGCATGCAAGGGTCTTTAGCAGTGGGAGAAAACTGGGGGCCCCGAAGAAAACCCACAAAGTTTGGTAGCAGCCCTACTCCTTGTCATATACAAGTGTAGGATAGAAACTGTGCCACTTGACTCAATGACAGATCTTATGAAATGAAATGAGGTTCAATGTCCTACTGTTCTCCACCGACTGGACTAATGAAGATGATCTACTAAAGCTCACACATTATAGACCTTTCAACCAACTACCCCGCACCCCACCCCCTTTTCTCAATCAGAGAGTGAGAACACTATACTAGTTTATTTTTTGATTAACATATTGTATGTTACTCTAATTCGGTTGCCTGCATCTATCTTTAAAAGTAAGGGAAGTTGGAGTACCCAAAGAAAAGCGGCAAGGTCAGGAAAGGGATTTGCCTAGAAAACAGACCTTATGATCTAGAGTGGATATAATCACTTGACCACCCAACCACCTTATTTAATCAGAAAAGATTTTTATATATACCTGTGTTTTTCCAAACTGAGGTTAATATTGTTGTGTTTTATACTTCCAGAAACCGTACATTAACACATCTGCTTTTAGCATTCCAAAAACATTTTCTCTACAACGAGCTTACATATTGTTCCGTACTATGGGTCTTCGACATCTAACTGTAGTGGATGATGAAAACCATGTTGTGGGTATAATAACCAGAAAAGATTTAATGGGATTTAACTTGAATGAAAAACTGTCTGGTTTATTATTTGAGGAGTTGGAGAAAAACAGTCGAGTGGCTGAGATGACTTCCCCAGCAGCTGCTACTATTTAACATATAATTAGTCAGCCATAGATGCACAACTGACAAGATAGTGTGATATATATTTTATTTTCTTATTTCAACTTGTTAAATTCTTTTGTATTTTAATACTTTGTTATTGAAAGTAACCCAGGTTGTTTTGTTATAGAAATGTATATAGTAATACTCAATTTTTTTACAAAATGCTCAATTTATTCTTATTTGCTTTGCATAAGTGTATATATACGCCTAAGATGAATAAAGTCAAAAGTGAAAATCGTCAAATTATTTTAATACTGTACGCCTAAAGGTTCAATATTATGCCAAAATAAAGGTTACAACAAAGACCATTTCAAATAATGAAATGTAATTTACTTTTATTAAAAAACAATTTTGAATTGATCAATTTCAAATTAATTTATGGCCATTTAAGTTCACATTGGTTTCTATTGTTTTCTGCTGGTATTTTTTACAAACCAGTTTAACTACATAATAACACGGTCTTTGCATTAAAGTTGTGCATAGTTTTTTACTTTTGATATATATGTTAATAATCACGCTTGTTGTGCCTTTAATTAATGGCATCTCATGACCAGAAAAAATATTTTCTTTTTCATTTAGTATAGTGAATATTCATGAAGTATAATAAAATATGTATGGAATATAGTCTGTCCAGAGAATTCAGTAGATATATATATAATATGTATTTGTTCACTGTATCGCATAAATGTCAGTTCAAAATTTTTAAATCAACAGTAAGGAAATTGTGAATGAAATTCATTGTATTTTGTTCTGTTTATTGTTTCTTATTATTTTGTCTTTATTTATCAACTCATGTTCTTTATTGTAGTAATTATAAACTTAAATTGATTCTTTCACAGTTCCCAACTCTAGGATGAAATGACCTAAAAATAGTCACCTTTATGCTACCAATGTTAGACATCATTCTCAGTGATATCATATTGTCATGTGACATCAGTTTTATTCCAATAAATTTTAACACCGTAACTCAAGCCTAGTTAAATCCTAGATGTTTGAACAACCCTAGGGTCACATGTACAGGCAAACCTCCCTTGACTAAAATTAGAATGATGGCACATGTAATGGTCAGTTGGCCAAACAAATTCACCATCTTGTACATGTATATATGAACTTCCTATCTAAGTCTTCATATTATAATTTGTGTTCCTTTATTAAAGTGTGTTCCTTTTGTTTTGTGATCATATAGATGTATACATAATAGATCAAATTGTGTTCATTATTATGTTAATTTTATACGATATTTGAGCAACTTTTGTTTTAAAATAATGTTTTTAACGGCAGGCTTTTATCCATGTCCCAGTAATTATATATGCAGCTGTTATTTGTCAATATATTTACAAGGAAATCAATCGTGTAGTCCCAAAATAAGGAAGTCTTATTGTGTGTAAATAAAATGTAAAATTTTTATGAAATACTGTCAAGATTTCCTCAATTTAATGCAATCTGATTCAAATACTGATCTATGTTTCATTTCGTTTTCATTTTATACTTTCGATGGCCTCCACTTCATTAGTGAAGACAAGCAAAATGGAACTTTTGAACTACAAAAAACGGAACTGAAATAGAATCTGTGTTCTAATCAGATTGTTTATAATGCAACTGATATTTGTATAGTATATGATTCGGTAGCTTAGCTTACAAGTTTATAATTAGTTATGGTATTTTGTATAATGTATGTCAGAATATATTTAATATCATTGATTAAAAAATTACTGATAAATTTTACCATCATTATATAATATATGTTTTGTTTACAAACTATTTAATGGTTTATGTAGATAAATCACCCATCAGAATAGAGTGTATCAAGTTATATTGAGAAGTTTGGACACTTTTCTGGAATAGTTCTGAAAATTTATGTTTTTGGCAAATTTAATATACACCTTGATAACTTCAATATCAAGAGTATGTTAATCCAAAGACAGAAAACCAGAAAATTGATCTTATCTATCTCTCTCCCACCCCACCCACGAACATCAAGTAGCATGTACCTTTTTAATGTATCCCGCCTTTTAGCACGCTTTAAAGCACAATAACTTTATCTGGAGAGAATGAATTTGGATAGAACTCCCCACACCTTTATTATCAGTATAAGTGCAATTATTTGCAATAAATTCCGAGTCACCTTTAAAAAGCCACAATAGGCATATTTCAGTAAATAAAAACGGTAAATTCTGTCCAGTTTCATTATAGAAAATGACTTACTGAAAAACGGACGCAAAGCAGGTTGGGACTTTTCCTTTAGTCTGTCTTGATTGGAATGAAGACTACCCTAGAGCAAACAACTAATCGACGAAAATCAAACCAGACTTAGGAAAGGACGGTCGACCATGGACCACTTGGTCCAGCACGCCATGTAGCAGGTAGACCTTAACGGGTACCTGATCAGTGCGTTTCATTTAGCTGGTTAGATGGACTGCCTTCACAAGTATCGGATTAAGAGCGTCCTGCGCGAATAAGAATGCAGGTTAACGTTAAGATATTTCCGCGTAGCGAATGGCGTGCCGCATGGATCGATTATTAGTCGCACTCTCTTCGAAGCAATAATCAACAATATCCACAACCCTGTGAATCCAGGTGCATTAGCAAAATTTTAAGATGTTAATACCATTTGGAGGGTAGGAATACCTTGCGGAGGTTACAAAGGCAGAGAAAGCCGTGGCAAACGATTGGAGTTTCAAAGTCTAAAGATGGAATGCTAAAGATGGGTATAAACAGATTAACTCAGACTATGAATTTATGAATGGTAAAGTTTCATAACCATTTTTTTAATAACGACCGTCCGTTTTAGTTGAATATCGGTGATGACAACGGACTTTCTAAGAATTTGATTTTGGGTTGAATATAACAGTAGGTTATACGGCCTTTGATGTTGAGTGACGGCACATGACAACGGTAGATAAACGCCAAAAATATAACATAATATTTATTTTAGTCACAAGAAATAATGAGAATATTTATAAATTATTGTTTTCTACATTTTATAAAATATTTTATAATGACCATCAGCTGTACAGATTTTAAATATATTTGTTTACTGCTTCTTATAATAACTACTTTATGGCAGAAAAACAGACAGTTCTGCATTACTGAAAAAATATTAGCTTGGTCAATTAAAGCGATAATTTCATATTTTTAAGTTATATTTTTAAAATGTATTAAAATAAAGCCTTAAAATAGATGGTATCTATAAACAATCCTACCTTGTTAAAGAATAATCCTATTAATCCTATAATTCACTATTGCCAGTTGAGAAATTGGCAAAATTTTCAACTTCAAATTCAAACGTTTGAAGATAGCTATTCCATGTGGGGAATATAAAAACAAGGGAGGTAATTGTGTTATTATTTCCGGGGTGAATGTTTTTTAAGTGTGAGAATGATACCTATGATCGCATAATAGTGAGTTGACAACCTATTGAGCAAAAGACATAGAAATAATTATGTTTTGACTTTTTTAGAAAATATGAAATTGTAACTTTAAATATAATCTTTCGTTTTACAAAAAAAACCTTATGTTTTACAAAAATAAATCCCCTATGTTTTACTAAAAAACAAACAAACTATATTTTACAAAAAACAACAACTATGTTTTACAAAATTACCGTATGTTTTACAAAAGAACCTTATGTCTTATAGAATAGTTTACACTAGAAGTAAATCAATTTGTCACAAGTATTACAAAATAGTTTTACAATGGAAATAAATCTACACTAATTCAATTTGTTATATTACAAAATAGTTTAACAATGAGAATAATTACTTTGTTTTATAACAAAAATAGTTTAACACTGGAAATAAATCCATTTATCATATCACAGTACAAACGTTTTTCACTGGAAATACATCAATTTTTCATATTTAAAAAATAGTTTTACATTGGAAATACATCAGTTTGTCATATTACAAAATATTTTTACTCGGGAAATAAATCGATTGGTCATATTACAAAATAACACACCCACTTTCGATATCACGTGCCCTGCGGTAAGCTATTTTAGCATTGGGTCGATCACGCCAATTCTCTTGAACCATATCATGTATGAGATTTTGAAGTTCTATTTGGTCCCCACATGGAATTTTTATAAATTCTCTGATATAGTCTAGCTTCTGACGATCTGTGGAATGTGCTATTTCTTGCTGACGCCTTCCAATGTACGGAGCCAAAAGCTTCTTTCCTGCAATCCAATCTACAGTGGTCTCCGAAAACATGGCCATTACAACACAACCCATGCTAAAAATGTCGCTCTTCATGGTGACATTATCGTGTTTAGCCTCCGGTGCTGTATAGTAACGCGGTCCTTTCGGACTATATTGAAAGTCGTAGTAGGGCGATTCATAGTTGAAAGCTTCCCATACCCTAGAGAGACCGAAATCAGCTATTTTGATTATACGAGAAGCAAACGAATTACGTTGATGTATCATTATATTATCTGGCTTTATATCACGATGTATGACACAGTTGTCGTGAAGATACGACACCCCTTCAGCCAACTGTTTAGAGAAATCTAATTTAAGTGAATGAGATAAAGATCCACGTCGGAGAATGAAACTATTCAAATCTCCAACGTTACAAAACTCCAAAACTATATAAACAGAATCGTCTTCAACGAAACTATCCACAAATTGTGCGATATTTTCGTGATTAAGACGTTTCAGCGATGTAACTTCCTTCTCTACCTTGGCTTGTTCTTCTGTTTTGTCAATGGGTATATTTTTGATAGCGAAGGTTTTACCATTTTTGCTTCCTTTGAAAACTACACCAAATGCACCTGCGCCAAGTTTACACACTATTTCGTAACCACCAACACTGCAAAACAAAATTAAGTTATCAATAGGATATCAATATATAATACATATTTGCTGCTATGAGGCCGATTATCCATATATCAGATCAAGTTCAAGTACATTGATGTTAATGCCAACACTGGTTTTATACTGTTATTTAAAATGGTTAAAACTCTGTTGGTTTTTATAAGGATTTCAGATTGTTTGATGATACGGATCGGGCTATCTCTATAGATCATAATTTTATTTCAACACATATATACACAGAGAAAACAAATTGAGTATAGCGCAAGTGTTTGAATAGATATTTACGTTAGCATCTTGACGTTCTGGAAGATATTCGATCTTCCTGAATGGCCTCAAGGCATTACTACACCAGTAAAGAAAATGAGTGAAACCAATTCCAAACAAGATGACTAGTCATCAACATCCCGCGCCCTTGCACTTGTTTGGAAGAAATAAGGAAAAATAACTTGTTTATGCTATTGGTAATCAAGATAAAAATGTATCAGATTTCGCAAACAGTGTCACTGGTCCTAATATTGTGGCCCTGTTTAGTAGATATTGCTCTCTATTTCTGAAAACAAATGACTGATTGATATTTACTAGAAGATTTGAGATAATTTATGACATTAAGCCCTGGTTTTAAAAATTAGACATGACTACATAGAAAATAGAGATATTTTGCAAGTGGAGGGAACTGGAGCTTTAGACAAATCCCATATTCCGACACATGGAATATCAATTCACAAAATTCCATACTCTGATCACAGTAGCTCGGCAAGGCAGGGTCGCTACTCCCTGTAAGGTTTGCACAACAACCTTTGCCTACCTCAATTAGCTGCTGTATGTTAAACAATAAACTTATACATCAGAAAATAAAATACTATAACAGGTTAATGTTTGTACAAAGTTTCAAAAAGATTTCTTGAACAGATAATAAAATATGCTCCAGAAATAAAATCAGGATAGAAGGCTGGATTTCAGAAAATAAAATAATGGGTAAAATTATTTTAAAGGTATCTTGAACAGTCAAATGTGTTTCCATGGAAACACATAAAATTATCAAATCTGAGAAATTAAAAATAAGTGCCATATGCTCCAGAAACAAAATTGTACACCAAAAACTAAGTAAAATTTGTTTCCATGGAAACACACAAAATATAAATCCCAGAAATTCCTAAATAGCAAATGGCACAACTACTGTAACGGGTTGATGTGTGTGCAAAGTTTCAGAAAGATATCTTGAACGGTTTATGAGATATGCTCCGGAAACAAAATTATACACCAAAAACTAAGTTAAATTTGTTTCCATGGAAACACAAAAAATATAAATCCCAGAAATTCCTAAATAGCAAAAGGCACAACTACTGTAATAGTTTGATGTGTGTGCAAAGTTTCAGAAAGATATCTTGAACGGTTTATGAGATATGCTCCGGAAACAAAATTATACACCAAAAACTAAGTTAAATTTGTTTCCATGGAAACACAAAAAATATAAATCCCAGAAATTCCTAAATAGCAAAAGGCACAACTACTGTAATAGTTTGATGTGTGTGCAAAGTTTCAGAAAGATATCTTGAACGGTTTATGAGATATGCTCCGGAAACGAAATCGGACGGACGGACGGACGGACGAACCCCATTTCAATATCCCTCCCTAACTTCGTTCGGCGCGGGATAAAACTATGGCTGGTTGGTACAGGTCAATAGAAAGTCCTCCGATTGAGTGTCTATAGAGCCGTCAAAACAGTGAACCAGCGGCTGCCAGGCAGGATACGCCCACATTTTGCAAGAGATAGATATAGAACAAGCTATTCAAAAAGCGATTTTTCATAACATCAAGGGACATAATTCAGGAAGGTACGATCAGATATGCGCGAATATCGACAGGGACCAAGATCTTTGGGTTATAAACATGCATTTCACGTTTCATTAAAATCGG